TGTGTGTGTGTGTGTGCGTGCGTGTGTGTGTGTGTGTTGGGGGGTGGGGTGGGAGGTTTTAAAGAGCTCAAAGTCTTCCAGACGAGTCAGCAGAAACTGTGAGGCCTCCTCCTTTGTGTGCCTGGCCCTAAACCCCAGGAATTCCATTCTGGCTCCTCTGGCCTTGGAGTGCAGTTCCACCGCTGCTGCTAACCCTTACATACAGTCACACACACTCACACCAACCTTCAGAGTGCTCTGTGAGCACATCGTCCTCTGTATGTTTACCTTAAATTGCATTTCAGCAGCACGCACACCCACATAATCCAAACAAAGCATATGGGACATCCTGCGTAGCTCCCGTGCACCTGTGTCAGCGGCTGGTGGCTCCGCCCAGCACCCCTGCACTCTGCTCCGGTGGTCCTCAGTTGGAGCTGGCTGCGATGGGTTTCTCCAGCTCCAGGTCGAGAGGCGCAGCGCCGACCTGGAGGCTGCTGTAGCAGTTCTTGCACACGCGGCTGGGCTCGAACAGCTGCTGGCTTGGCACTGGGATCTTTTGGTCGCAACAGCTGGCGCAGAACACGTTACCGCAGTTCCTGCAGGGGACACGGACAGATGAGTGAGAGCGCTGACACGCCTCTGACCTCTGACCCTGCAGATACCATGTGACCTGTGGCATTGTGCTATATCAACACTTCTCAACATCTGCTTGATCTGACWGTTGAAATTTTGATTGAACATCATTTAGGCCACCTGAGACGCATGGTACAACAGGTAGAGAGAAGACATGCAAACCCTGCTCACCTGTTTCTACATGCTTGCWRCAATAAAAGTAATTACTCAGCCAGTTTACAAAAAGAAAAGAAAAAGCAACACACCCGACAGTGTCACTGAATAAGACAGCAGCTCACACTGCAGGACTCAGATTCAGACGTGAGGCCATGCGCACACTTACACATGTACTGGGGCTTCAGTTTCTCCTGCCTACACTCCCTGTTTAACAGAAACACTAATTTACTCTGAGTCTGCAGCCTTTAGAGCCCAGTGCACTGACCAGCTTCTGATGTCATGTCATGCTGCTGAATGTTGAGATGCTGAAGGGAGGGTGTGGGGCATCATGCTGCCAGGGTGCCTGTGCAGGGTGGGGTGTGGGTGCTGAGAACACAGTGACCTCGGTCAGACCTGGCATTAACATTCAATCTCAGCTATCAGAATGCACTTAAACAGCACTAAATACAGCTCTGACTGACCTCACATTCACTGAATCTTGACTATCACTGTTACGTTTTGAAAAAAATGTCATTTTAAAAGGTAGATTGTGTGAAAGAGTGTGGTGATTTTCTCTATAGTTTGTTTATTCAGATTGCTTTCAAGCTGATTTAACCAGCTGTGGTCACTGTAAACTTTACAACATATTCACCTACTTTAACACAAGATGTGTTAAATTATCACTAGCTGTGTTTCCATCCAATTTTTATTTGAATTTTGAGCGAATTTTTTAAAATTCGCAAAAAATGTAAAAACGAAGAAATGCAAATCAGACGTGCTTCAATCAACTGGCTTGAAGCGAATCAGTAACRTCAGACGCATGCATGTGGTAAACAGGAAGTAAATGTTGCATCTCAGGAAAATGGAGAGAAGTTTTCAGGAACCTGTTGCTACTGTCTGGAAAGTTGTAATTATTCTGTCATCAACTAGTTTTGGCGATTTTACATGCTGTCGGGAGACATAGAGGAATTAATGCAATTCTTTTCACGTTACGGGATTAACTGAGAATACGCCGACAGCGGGAGGAGGTTCCAGCTGCAGTCGCTCTGGTACTGGACCGCTTTCGGTCAGACAGCAGGAACAGCTGATCAACATGTGAGGTAAATGTTCTCTACGTCAGACATGATTCGAAAAATCTGTTTCCATCGTCTTTTTGCGCATTAACTCTTTTTCGAAAAAACTCAAAAACCACCTCAAGCGAACGTATCAACTTTGATGCGAATTAGAGAATTTTTTTTCCGAATCATGCTGTTTCCAATCACCTTTTCTGATGTGATACTTCAAAACGCGCATTAAAAACCTTGATGGAAACACGGCTACTGATGTAAACCAGCTGGTGGCTGTCAATGCACCACTAGCTGTGTCTCAACTCAGGGGCTGCATCCTACCTAGACTGTGGCATACATAGGCCACAGCCCATGCAGTCTGGCTAGGCTGCACAAAACCACTTTTTACTGGAAGAACAGCCTTACAATTAAAACATTACACATAAATAAATAAAAAAAAAACATTAATAGTTTGGGTTTAGCTCCAGTATCAGCACTTGTAGTTGTATTTTATTTAGCATCTTATTTCAGCATGAATTTCATCAGCTAAGTTGCTAAACTTACTTTTAAAAACATTTTTTGTTCCATGATGAATTTCCAAACTACACTGACTTGGTAAAAAAAATAAAAACTCCACTGTCTTCATTACTCTGTTAAGTTAGCTGTTGGCGTGTTGAATCCTGGGATATCCTCACAGATGCATCCTTCATTTTTGAGATTTTGTGGGCCACATTCCTCGGCTGCATGAGGAAGAGCCTTTGAACTGGGACAGCACTCGATGTGGGGCAGTGAGGTATGAGGCCGACAAATGCTCACTGAGAAGGATGCAGCCCATGAATTGAGCCTTAGAGTTTTATGAGCTTAAATGTATTTGTCTTTGTCCTGACACTGAGCTCTGAGTCACTAAACATCGTATATTTCTCCATTGTTACATGTGTTATGTAATTACTGCCAGGTGTGAACACTCTAATTCAACACTGACCACTTGCTGTAAAATCACCCAAGACGGATCCTTAGTGCAAGGTCTGAACGGGGCCAATGTGGATATTCTGCTATGGTGGGTCGAGGCAGAGGAGCTCCATGTTTTGTTGCTTGAATTTGATTGAAATAAATAAAATTAGTTCTCAACCAATTACAACCGGCCCACTGACAGCTTTGTGTTGTCAATCCACCTGACGGATGAAGATTTTACTGTAAAACTACTGATAATTCAAACTGAATAAAGGCGCAGAAGGTGAGTAGAGGAAGGGTTTGAAGGGGGAGGCTAGGATTAGGAGGAGGTTACAGCAAAGTGGGGTCACAACAGGGAGGGGGATCTCACCAGACCTCCTGGACAGGCTCCCTGTCACTGTAGAGGAGGAAGAGGGGCAGACAATGGATAAGAACTGCCTGAGCAGTGGGAGAGAACATGAACACACTTTAACACATCTGCATCTGAATCCAAGCCAGATTAACTACAGAATATTTAATTCACCCTAACATCTGAAGTGATGCTGCATTCCAGTTTTATCGGAACTTGAAATTCTGAAGCCGGACTGACGTCAGTTCYGATCTGATAGCGTTCCAGTTTCAAACATCGGAAAAAGTGTTTTTATCATTTTGCTCTGCAACAATTAAACTTACAATAATAGTGCTCTATGAGATATTTTGAGTGTAAAAACAGTGTTAAAACATATATTTTAACTATTACTATAAAGCACTACAAGTATGTCTAACATAATGTAAAATAAACAACACAGAACTGCTAAAAAACATACAAGTAACGAGTTTCATGCGTGCTGCAGCCATTTTGAAATGATGACGTAACGCATGCTCGGGTATGGTTTGGATGCGCCGACCTCTCGACTCAAAACTACGACTTCAGGGGGCATTCCAGTTGAAAAATAGAACTCGGAGGCTCGAAGCTACAACCTCCAAGGACAACTGGAACGCAGCATGATTTCTTAAACAAATGTTCAACTGGATTCAAGATGCAACACAGAAAAAAGTGAGGAGGACACAGCAGTGATGAGGACATAACACCAGAGGAAACAGCCTCGGCTGATGGTATGAAGGCAAAGTTTAACAAATTAATCTTTGAATGTGTTAAACATCAGCCACTAACAAGAACCTCACCGCTAAGATCAAACCAAATTATCAACCAAGATAATGAGCAGTAGCTAAAGTATTCGTCCCTCTTAGTATTCTAGTTGTCTTCAATCTGGAATTTATGTATATTTTAAACTGGATTATAAGAAATAAATCTACTAATTCTACTTCAGAAAAAAATATTCTTAAAAAAATTGGAGTGTGCAAATGTATTTAGCTTCTTTGCTTTGATCCAACCATTACCTTCAGAAGCAACAGATTTAGTTCAACAAGATCCACGTGGAAAATCTAAGTTTGAAATGTTCTTAGTAAACATCCAGCTGTTCCAAAAACTCTCAGAATCAACATCAGTTTAACACTTCTAAATATTAAGGGGGACTGAAAAAATTTATTGGGATTGTTTACTACTGACTTTTAAAGACACTGCACACTGTATAGTCTTTTTTAGGTGAACAGTAATATATTTCTATAATGTGGTTATCTCTGATTTAATTGATGATTTTATGTGCAGACTGGGTTTGTGTGGGACTCTTGATCAGGGTCTCAGACTCAGGAGACTTTTAATTAGATACATGTCTGATTTAACACAACGCATATAAGAACTGTGATTATACATTAGGGTGAGGAATAATGTCTGACATTCTGACTCCATATAGAGTTAGCCTGCCCCTTTAACATGTGTCATGAGGTGGAGTCAGGATGCGAAGAGGTTTGTTACTTGATGTGTGTTTCTGGGGTCTGGTCTCTGTTTAGCTGATGTCTATCGGAGGCAAATTAAAGAAAAGCTAATCAGACCACAGCTGTGTCTGGATGGTTTTGTATGGCTCACTCAAACATTCACATGTCATTATTAACTGGTGTTAGATCTGAACAGGTAAAGGGTAACAAACATTGCTTATTTTTTTAACAGTACCACCAAGCTAAAGACAGCATAAAGACCAAAGAACTCTGGGAAATTGTACTGGTGTAGATACTCTCAGTGAGAAAATAACAAAGATGAGAAGCAAAACTTCAATTGTGAAACAGAATAAAAATGTTTTGTAATTTTTAGTTTAATTCTGGGAAACAGGTTGGCATCAAAGGAAAGAAAGAAATACAAAGAAAAATACTTAATTAAAATCTGCTTGAGTCTTCCAGAGATTTGAGACTATAAGACACGTTCCAGTAGGAAAATGACCCTGAACACTCTGCAATGAAGTAACACTCTACAGTTTAAGGAGAACCAGAGTAAATGTCCTGGGATAGTCCAGTCAAAGCCAAGACCTCAATTCAACTGAGAATCTACAGTTTTATTTACAGATTGTTGAACACAAGCAGCACTGATCCAACTTAAAGGAGCTGCAGCTCTTTGGTCATGAAGAACGGGCAGAAAGTCCAATAGTTGGATGGACCAAGATCCTGGAGACAGATCTGAAGAAACTTGTTGCTACAATATAAATGATGAAAAAGTATCAAGTTGTTTTTTTGTTTGTTAGTTTTTTGGAGGTGCGGCTGTGTATACACAGTGTGCAAATACAGTAACCCTTTTCAGTTTTGTGGTTTTTATAATTAATTAAAATAATTATTGTAACTTCATTCAGTTCATTTTTTTGTAGAATTATTGCCTATATTTCAATCAAATTTCAAACTGTGAGGCAAAAAAAATTAAATATTACCTCAACAATTTCGAAACACACCATACAAATAAGTCACAGAGAATACCCCTAAGACGTGATAATAGTACGAAAAAGGAGGATAGCTTTGGTAGGAATTTGTAGATCAGAGAGACCGTTTTGATGTCTGAGCAGTGAGCTTTGAGGTGGTGTGGAGCATTGCCATGGATGGATTGGTGGGTGAGAAAAATAAACCTTTTATTCAATGTGGAGTGAGCTGGAAGCCAGAGGAGGGATTTAAGGATTGGGTTGATATGTTCACGTTTCATTTGCTTCACCAGGACCTGGACTGCACTGTTCTGTATATAATGAAGTTTTTGGGTGTGTTTGGATGGAGTTCCATTAAAAAGTGCATTGCTGTAGTCAAGTCTTGAGGAGATGAAAACATGAACAAGTTTTTCAGCATCAAAAAAAGAAGAGTAACTGAAGAAGTTTGGAGATGTTCTTGAAATGAAAGGCCTTGTAGAGGTGTGTGATGTGAGTTTCAAATGTAAGAGGAGTCAAACCTTACATCAAGATTAGTCACTATAGAGGAAAGGGGGGACGTTGTGATTATGGTGGAAACAGATGAGTGAATCTGATGCAGGGTATCAACTAAAATAACTTCTTGTTGTGACATGTTTAGCTGGAGAAGACTGACATTCATCCAGGCTTTTATTCCTCAAGACAGTTGGTGAGAGTGGAGAATGATGAACCTGCAGAGAGGTGAGGGTTTGTTTTGATACAGAGCTGCATGTCGCTGCATGTCATCTGCAGTGCTCTTCAGTCATTTCTGTGAGTGAAGAGTTTGAGGCTGAAGGAAGAGATTTACTTTAGAGAAGATTTGTTTGGAATTCCTACGACTGTTCTCAGTGATGGTACATAAGTGGTTGGAACGAGTTTTATGGAGTTCCTTCATATAGACCACCTGATGCTCTGATTAGTCTGTTTGTGGACAGTGAGTCCAGAGCTGATGTACTGTTGATCAAGGGCACATCCAGCTGCTTTCATGTCTCAGCTCACATAGGGAGCTGAACAAGTTGACAGATCTAGTTGTAACAGGTGCATGTAGGTCCAGGAGGGTCTTACTGTAAAAGTCCTCTGATTCACTGAGTGTTGATGAATGAACAGAGAGGTAGAGCTGAAGGTCTGCTGCCTTGATATCTGGGTTCATGTTTTTTTTTTGTCCCTGAAATAAATTTGACGCATTTGTTAGAATTGTTTATAAGGTTAGGGATAGGTGTCAAGATACAATAAGATGCTGTACAGGTACACTGATGACAGTTGCTGATTCTGTGATAATCAAGTCCAAGCACTCTGGTGTGTGTGGGGACTGGGGCTGGGCTATATGGACTAAAATCAGCACATACATGACAAGTTGTTCAGATTGTCTGTAATTTACACTGATTTCCTCTCATTTTGCAGATATACAGACCTATACAGAGATCTCTAGAAGGATTTTTTCAAGTTGTATGGCTTTTTTTTCAAAAATTCAGTTTTAAATTTATTTAAAATGTCAGAGCCTGTAGGATGTAATAAATAAATAAATAAATAAATAAATAAATAAATAAATAAATAAATAAAAAACATCAGACAGCATCTGCGAGAGAAGGGCTTCAGAAACAAAAAACGTCTTCAAAGGCCACGTCTTCTTCAATGCCACAAAACTGCCCATTTGGACTTTGCAAGGGTGCACCAAACATGGGACATTGAAAGGTGGAAGAAAGTTGTCTTCTCTGATGAGAAAAAATTAACCTTGATGGTCCTGATGGCTTCCAACGTTACTGGCATGACAAGGAGATCCCACCTGAGATGTTTTCTACACGGCACAGTGGTGGGGGTGCCATCATGATTTGGGGTGCRTTTTCCTTCAATGGAACAATGGAGCTTCAGGTTGTGCAGGGGTGTCAAACAGCAGCTGGCTATGTGGAGATGTTGCAGCGGGCATCCCTCATGACTGAGGGTCCTYGTCTGTGYGGTAATGATTGGGTTTTTCAACAGGACAATGCTGCAGTTCACAATGCCCGCCTGACAAAGGAGTTCTTCCAAGAGAATAACATCACTCTTTTGGACCATYCTGCATGTTCCCTGGATTTAAACCCAACTGAGAACATTTGGGGATGGATGGCAAGGGAAGTTTACAAAAATGGACATCAGTTCCAGACAGTGGATGCCCTTCATGAAGCCATCTTCAACACTTGGAGCAACGTTCCCACTAGCCTCCTGGAAACACTGGCATCAAGCATGCCTAAACCATTGTTTGAAGTCATCAACAAGAATGGTGGAGCTACTCATTACAGAGTCCTTTTTTTGACACTTTGATTTCTGTTTTGGGGGGTTTTCAGGTTTTTTTGAGCTACGGTCTTAAACTTTTGATCAGCTGAAAAAAATCATGTTTGAGTGTAAATGCAGTTTTCAGACAATTCCCTGCTCAAAAGTTTGTGTCTCTTACGCTGATTTCTTCTTTTAACATTGTGAAGCTCTACTTAGAACCTTCTTAAGATCCAATAGTGCAAAATGTAAATTCATGCATTTTTTGACTGGTCTTAAGATTTTGATCAGGAGTGTATATTGAGCAGTTCACCTCGACTTCTTCCTACAACAATGAAAGAAGCTAAGCTTAGAAGCTAACAGGAAATTGTGTGCACTGTAAACCTACTGGGGAGAGGGAAGTACTGAGCTGAATGAGATGGCTGACAAATTTTATTTCATTTGGAAGCCTTGTCAACACGAACTAAACTACAGGCAGACTAAAACAGCGCAGAAAATCAATATCATTGTTCCTTCTGTTCCCTGATTGGCCCGATTGAAATTCTACCTGAGAAATCCCAGACGGAGCAGAGAAGGGAGATTAGAATTGACGGGAACATCTCCTGATATGAATAATAATCATAATTTACAGTACAAAGCCTTATTAAATGACACTGTTAGAAAGTGTTTATTTATTTATTGAATTTTATTTTTTGCTGAATGTATCAACTTTTCAGGACATTTCACTGAAAATGTTTTTCTCCTTTAAAAGCACACCCCTATTCACCAACTATCTTTAGAACAGTATTCCTGCATCTGAGAAGGCATTAAGAACAGAGTTGTGTTTTGGTGCACAGCTCTGCATCATAGCTGGGCCAGAACCATATAGTCAATGCAATGTTCACTGTTGTTCTCTAGATCCTATTCACAAGTCTGGCACTTGTTGCTGGCCTGCAGACTGTCAACCCTCGCCAGCCTTCACCACATCAGGCCTTTTAAAAAGTTTTAATGACTTTTGATTAGTTACAGATATAGAAGACTCAGCTGTTCTTTTGCTTTTAGATCTGCCAGAGGTTCTGTATTCTGATCTCCAGGCTGGAGCTCTGTGGTATCAAAGGTTCTACAGTAGACCGGTTCAGGTCTTACCTGTTTGACTGAAGTTTCTCTGTAAGCCTCAGAGAATCTGTACCATCATCCTCCTCCTCACATGTGGAGGATCTAAGCTCTATCTTTACCTGTAGTTAGTTCAGAACGCTGCAGCTGGTCTTTTAACACAAACAAAAGTGTGAACATTTCTCCCTGGTGTTGGCTTCCTTTTATTGGCTCCCAGTTTCTTACAGAATTGATTTGAATGTTTTTAATGACCTCTAAGGCCCGTCTGATCTCTTGAGTCATGTGTCACTTGGATCCAATGAAGATTTGCTCTTCAGTAGGGCTTATAATAATGATGTAAGTTCAACTGGTAACAAGTTCATTATGCATTTTTGTTAAACATTTTTGATGAATGAATCAGAAAAGATCCAGCCACGTAATTCCTCCTTTGGTTATATTAAAAAATAAATCTGTGAAAACTAGTTTTACTTTCCTTGTTGCCTTTTAAGAGGAAGTAGCATCATGAGGCTCGGAGGCTGAGCTGTTATTTTTAAAATAGTTTTCAAATAAAATATAGACTCTGAAGAGTACACTAAAATCTTACACTAAATGACAACAATGACAGCCAAACTTGGATATCCATCTGAGGTAACACACACAATGAGGAAGAAACGTTCCTCAGATAAAGTCACTGGGATTCATTCTAATGGAAAAAAGAGCTGAAAGTTGATCAAGTCCCATCTAAGAAGCTTAGTGTTGATCAAAGTGGAACCATTCCTAAGTTAAAATATAAGAACTCACCTGCAGTGATGCTTCCTGGTAGCAAGCCAAAACCTGCTTTCACAGCCATAACACTGTGCAGCCAAATGGTCAGGGTACCAGCGAGTGACCTGCAGTGTACAAAGTCATTCACAGCTTCCATTTTTAAAGTGCATCACTGCAAACTACCAGTAAATCCTGACAGAGCTCACCTCAGTGTCCTGTTTGTCCACCTGCTCCCAGCTGGCCTCTGAGAAAAGTTCTGTGCTGCAGCGCGACAAACAGTTTGCGTCGAGATTGTACTCAGAATCTGTTATTGAGGTCTGAAACAGCACAGACAAACACAGTCACTGCTGAGGCAGCTGCTAGCAGCAAATGACCAGCCTGATGTTGCTTCAACTAGTTCCACATTACGGAAAACCACATCGTGCTCTTTGAGGATCTTACCACCTCGTCTCCCAAGTCTCCATTAATCCTATGGGAGTTGGCGTGTTGCTGATTCTCCAGGCGGCTCCACAGCTCCTGTACCTGCTTCTTCAGATTCTCCACCTCCAACTGGTGCCCTGCCTCGATCTGTCTCAGTCTTTGCTGGATGGCGTCTGTGTGCAGAGTCAGCCCGTCGTCGTCCAGGTGACTTCGAGACGGCTGCTCCGGGCTGACGATGGTCCTGCTCAGCACGGCGTGACAGCAGCGGTGCTGAGAGCAGCTGCCTCGGAGGTGGAGAATCAAAGAGCTGCAGCTTGCTAGGGACACCTGTCGACTCAGAGGGGCCCGCTCCCCGTTTCCTTTGAACCAGTGATGTCCTACGCAGGGGTCTCCATCCAAGCTGTCCCCATTGCACAGCCCGTCCCTGCTGAGCTCAGCACTAGCAGACTGAAAGGCACTGACAGAGGGATGCTTACTGCCCCCGTTTAAAGTTCTGCTGGAGCTGTGTTCACCTGTCTCCACCCCCCTGTCTTTCATGGAGCAGGACATTTGGCTCCTGCCCTCACTGTAGGGCTGACGGCTCAAACAAACAGTTTGTTGTGCTGGAAGCTCTGATCTGCTGCAGGCTTCTTCTGTTAGAGTCTCTGTGGAGCTCTCCATCAGGGAGGCCCTCTTATCCACCTGCCCCCCTGGCTCAGTGACAGCAGTTCCAAATTCAGAGACAGAGCAGGAGTCATCTATGCCCAGCTCCAGCTCCTCGGGAAATTTGCCCACGAAGCCATTAACTATCATTGTTTGGCCTGCAGGTTGCTCAGGCTCAGCTGAGCTCGACTCATTGGGGCTAAGTTTTGGCTCCTCTTGAACCTCCTCATTCTGCTTCAGCAGGTCCTCTGGAGTCTGAGTCACCTTGGCTGTCTGCTGATGGAGTTCCTCTTCTTTCTGTGCAGATTCAGGGAAAGAGTCACCATCCTCCTCTGACTCCATTACACCATTTTCTGGAAAGAAACCATTAGCAAATATTTCCCTCTGTCTCTCAGATCCATTGGTAATGGTGACCTGATGCTCCTCCTCAACTTCAACATCAGTCTTTACTTCCACATCAGCAGCAACACTACCATCAGTCAGAGCGGCACTTCTCCCTCCCTGTGGATCTGCTACCACTTCCTCCTTTGTAGCTTCCTGCAGAATATTCTCCATTTGCCCCTCAGCGACAGCCATGGAGAGCTCTGCCTCCTCCGTGTCCTCTCCTGCTGGTTCCACAGAGGCGTTTTGTCCGAGTACAGCCTGGGATTCCTGGGACTGCAGGCTGTCCAGCTTAGAGTCCAGACCATCTGGGGAAGGTCCCTCTCCGTTAGGCTGCACCTCCAGATCCTGATTGCCCCCTCCCTCTGGCCCCACTGCTATGCTGAGCTCCAGAGAGCGCCGGTGGTCCTGCCACTTCTCATTGAGGCTCGGGTCACTGGAGCGGCGGTTGGGAGCCAGCAAGCTTCCCAGCTCACATGCACTGGGCAAGTTGTCAAAAGAACGAGCTTTTGTACGCCTAAACAGGAAATGAAAAAAATAATTAGAAACAAAAACACTGTTTGAATGGGTGTCATGACTATATTGTTGCACAATCAATTATTTCTATTTCATCAAAACAAAACAGTGAAACAAAAAGCTCTCTGAACTCAGAGTTTAAAGAATAAATTGTAATAAGATCCAAAGGAACATTTTCTTCCCCAGGACGTTATTGACAAGTGACAGAAGATGAGAACCATGTGTGTGACTGTAATAGGTTGAGCAGAGCAACATTTTAAAGCAGGAGTGCTGAAAAGTCGGGATCCTCTGGCTGTTGGAAGTCTTCATTTTGTGTTCATCTTACATGGAGCAGGAAGTAGGGGGGTAGTCGAGTTCCATCCTGCCAGGCTCACCTGCCCAGGGGTGCATCCTCCGGGTTGGCACCTGGCACTGGATAGGGGGCGCGGGAGTCATCGGAGGGGGTGGTGGGGGAAGAGCAGGGCAAGTAAACTGCTGTCCACAACATCAAGTTCCGTACGTGACAGACTGGGTGGAGAACCTGCAAGGAAAACAAATCACACACAGCAGTGTGATCGTTCAGATACAAAAACAGAACTTTCATAACTACAAGTCTGAGCAAGACCTGTTAGGAATATCTGAACGCAACCATAAATACAGTTTCCACACTAAATGTGGACACACACACAAGAAGCAAACATAAAACCAACAGTAATCATAACAATGCAGTTCTCAGAAGGGTGTGAAACAAATCATATATCAAGTTTGTCACAGAGACAATCAGCAATAAATCTATGACATTGTGAAACACAACATTCAGTTCTGGTTTTATCCTGCCTGTAATGAATTTAAAAACATGCTGTCTGGACCAAAAGGAATGAGATTCTCTGGTTTAACATTCTTCTTTTCACGAAAAACTTCTTCCTATTCTGTCTCTGATTTTTCAGATAAGCCTTTATAAATATGCAGTTTTAACAACCAGAACAGAGCTTTCTGAAAGACTAATCAGAGGGTGGACGTACGGATTCGGAGTGGGAGGAGTACAGCATGTTCCTCAGCGTACGATTGGCTGGTCTGAGCAGTGACCAGACTGAGCAGGTTCTCTCCTGAACGTGGCGATCCTCCCTGTCCTTGCCGCTGTTGCACAGGAAGGTGCCGAACAGACACGAGTAGGTGTGCTGCACCAGCTTCACCTGCGCACACACGCACGCGCGCACAAACACACACACACACACACACACACACACACACACACACACACACACANACACACACACACACACACACACACACACACACAAAATGACATGCAGAGGCTTGTGAACCAACACCCAGGAATAAGGGGTTTTCTGATATGTCTCATGAAGAAAGCCTGAAGGTGAATGAAAATGAACGCTTTAAGCAGAAACAGATGTGCAATAATAAAAGGAATCCCATTGTAACTTAGAGCAAACACGCAACATTCAAAGGTGTTAAATCTAATGATAAAAGCAGCATGAGACAAGAYAGCTGAATGTGCTCACCAGGAAGGCCTCGTTGAACTCAAAGGAGCATGGGAATTGTCTCTGCAGCTGATGAACACAGTCCAGCCACTGCAGGAAGACCGGGCAGCGCTCATTCAGGTCCTCAGAGTTTTCCCCATGACCACAGCGGTCTGCAAACTTGTGGCCAAAGTCCAGCCATTCTGTCTCCACCAAAACCTGGAAGCCCTGCACAAACATCATAAAACGAGCTCCTTTTAGGCAGAAGATAAACAACATTAAGGGCTTCAGTTTCACATTATCATGGCTTCATTACAAATAACCTGTGAAACGGACAGAAAAAACAGATTAACATTTACAGGCATGACGTTGCATGTAGTGCTTTAAGAGATAACTAAAAGTATTATATGACAGTATAAGTGGCATCACACCACCGTGTATTTATGTACTCTACACAGCAACACATTAAGAGCAGGTCCACATTTACACACCAACGCACACACCAGCTCAGCAGCTGAAAAGCTGAGTTTGCACCATTTGAACCAGTCGATTCAATACGTTTGATGTTCTTCTCAGATCCAGCAGAGAGAAAAGCATTTTGACCATAAGGATGATACAAACACAATACTGATTCAAGCCAATTACTTTATATTTTTGCCAAGTATTTCCAGATAAAAACCCAACCAACAAGTTGCATTGACTTGTCTTTGCTATTGGAATACAAGTTTGCTGTTTCAGGCTCTTGTGATTAAGAGTAGCACTGTTGGCAAACAGAGCAGATCATAAAAAAAAACACAAGAAATTAATCTTCACTACCAGGAGGCTACAACCACAGTTTTTTTAAATTATTTTCTATCGTCACCAAAAATTTCATTAAGATAAAACCATAAAATCCATAAAATTATTATTTGATTGATCAATATGCATCATTGCACGAAACTGTTTAGGATGAAAGAGGTTGGATACATGAGTAGACGGAGAGCAGAAGCTTCAGCTGCATCTCAAACACTTTCTAATAATTACTTCATTCATTTAAGTCAGATATGAAAAATACAGGTACTGCAGAGAAAACAACTTAAGAGGACAGGGCTCTATACTAACTTTTTGCTCAGGGGGTAAACATTAAACAGAGGCTCATCTTTAATATGGGGCAAACAAATGWTTGTTAGAGTTAATATTGTTTCATTAGAAGAACTGAAACAGTGAATCTCACAGAAAGAATCAGTCTGTGTGCTGTGACGTGCTTTTRTGACACAGGTCTCACACGAGGAGAGGGGAGTTTGTTCACATGTGCAGTTGGACATACTGTATCTGTTCTAATAATGACACTCTGAACACACAAATATTTACTATAGTTAGGTTAGGTCAGGTCTCTGGTAGCTTTGGAGCGAAGTGTGGGAGGAGACGTCTGCTCACTCAGAACTGACCATTGCTTTAACCTGCAGTTTGTAACTGCTACACCTGGCCTCACTAAGAGACCCACCCTGCTCTGCTCTGATTGGATAAAATGGCTCTGGGGTTTGTTAGATTTTTTTTGAAAGCAACGACTTGTTGCACCAGTGTGACCAAAATTTTATTAAGAAATCAGGTTGCAATTGCGATCAAATTGGTCACACTCTAGAGCCCTGGATGGTTAATGCAGTTAGGTCCATATCTATTTGGACAGAGACGTTTTCCTCATTTTGGTTCTAGACATTACCACAATGAAATCTGAACAAAACCTTTCAGATGCAGTTAAAGTTCAGACTTTCAGCTTTAATTCAGTGGGTTTAATAAAATGATCGGATAGAAATGTAAGGAACTAAAGCAGTTTTTAACACAACCCCTTCATTTCAGAGACTTAAAAGTAATTGGACAAATTAATTTTAAATAAAATGTTCATTTCTTATACTTAGTTGAAAACTCTTTGTTTGCAACGAAGGCCTGAAGCCTTGAACTCCTGAACATCTCCAGATGTTTCCTTTTTTTTTAAAGCTCTGTCACATGGAGCCATGTCCAAGCCATCACACTGCTCTGCTGTTTTACAGATGATGTGGTGCTTTGGATCATGAGCTGTACCACGCCTTCGCCATACTTTCTCTTTCCATCATTCTGGTAGAGGTTGATCTTGGTTTCATCTGTCCAAAGAATGCTCTTCCAGAACTCTGCTGCTTTTTACGTTTTTTAGTAAAATCCTGTCTAGCCTTTTTAATCTCGAGTCTTATGAGTGTCTTGCACTGTGCAGTGAACCCTCTGTATTTACTTTCATGCAGACTTCTCTTTATGGTAGATTTGGATATTGATACTTCTACCTCCTGGAGAGTGTTGTTCACTTGGTTGGCTGTTGTGAAGGRGTTTCTCTTCACCATGGAGATTATTCTGCCATCATCCACCACTGTTGTCTTTCGAGAACATCCAGGTCTTTTTGCATCGATGAGTTCACCAGTGCTTTCTTTCTCAGGATGTACCAAACTGTAGATTTTACCACTCCTAATATTGTAGCAATTTATCCGACGGGTTTTTTCTGTTTTTGCAGCTTAAGGATGGCTTGTTTCACCTGCATGGAGAGCTCCTTTGACYGTATGATTATTTCATAGCAAAACCTTYCAAATGCAARCACCACACCTCAAATCAACTCCAGACCTTTTATCTGCTTCATTGAGAATGACATAATGAAGGGACTGCCCACACCTGTCCATGAAATAACCTTGGATTCAATTGTCCAATTACTTTTGGTCCCTTTAAAAACAGGGTGGCACATGTTAAGGAGCTGAAACTCCTAAACCCTTCATCCAGTTTTAATGTGGATACCCTCAAATGAAAGCTGAATGTCTGGACTTTATGTTCATATTATAACTATATGGTCTAACTCTAACCGTTTATTGTTACATTATTTAAATAACATAAATTTTTTGAATTTTACTTTAGTTATAGATTATAAGAAAGTTACAAAGGTGTGTTATCAACAAGTCCAGATGTTAAACAGCAGTCCATATAAAACAACATTTAAAAGACTAAAATCAAATTGTGTGACTGAAGGGAAACTGGTCTATACCTCAATGGTGCGGTAGTAAGGGTCCAAAAGCAGCTTGGACAGAGCTACAATTTGAGGTGTGCGGTCCCAGCCATCAGAGCAATGCACCAAGACGGGTCTGTGGTCTCGGTCCACAGCATTGACAACCAGCAGGGCAGCCTTCAGCAGCAAGGACAGGTGTTGCAGCCACTTGGTGCTCTCCAGTGCAGAAAGCCAGCTGTGGTGACAAACAGCAACATGTCTAAAACCAAACCTCAGATATCTGAATATTGTGCTTTACAGAGACTAACATATACCACATATCAGTGAGACAAATCATTACTCCACTCATGAGCTCAAAYACTAACAGCACAAGAGGGCAAAACTGTAACACTGTGACAATGATCAGTTTTTAAAATCATTATCGTTTCATGTTTTAAATCATGTTCTGGTTAGCTGAAAGTTGAACTGAAACTGAAGGAGTGTACCCATTTGCAGCGTAGCAAACATCTGTTAAAACATTTACATATCAGATCTATGGTGGCTGGTGTGTAAATAAATGTGCAGATGATAAAAAATATTTAAAAAGAAAATGGAGCTTTTGTGCACTGAATATTAAAAATGTGGTTGCACTGTAAAGTTTAGCAGACATTTGATAAAGAGTGACATAATACCTGAAAAGAACAATGTAGTAGAAAATGGGCACACCTGATGTAGTTCTATTTTGAGTAAAGTTTTCATTTATCTGAGATATTATGTGTGGGACAAGCTCAACAGGTTTTTAAATGCTAGAATGTCCCTTCTGTTACACTCAGTGCTTTAATTTGGCAGCTTGATGACTTAGCGCAGAGGTCTTCAACCCTGTTCTTTGTGACCTGCTGTCCTGCATGTTTTAGCCGTTTCCCTGCTTCAGCACRCCTGACACAAAACAGTCAATCACTCTTCAGTCAGGTGTGTTGAAGTAGGGAAACGGCTAAAACATGCAGGACACTGGATCACAAGGAACAGGGTTGAAGACCTCTGCGCTAAGTCATCAAGCTGCCAAATTAAAGCACTGAGTGTAACAGGTTTGGGTGATGTTAAAAATAAAACCTACTTGGCTGGATCAGGCATCTGAGTACAAAGGAAACGCAGGGACTGGAAACTCTTGCGAATGGAGTGGATGTTGGCCATTCCCATGAACACCACCTCACAATTAGGATAGTACTCTGCAAAAGGAAAACGACCATTAAGACCCGTGACATGTCATGCTTTGTATTGAATCTGAAGAGCTGACTCCCATCAAGTGAGAGCCGTCTCCCTTATTTATTTTTCCTTTCGCTGGCTTTGGGAGCAATCACATGTTGGCATACTTAGTTCTCGAAGGCTGTTATCCTGCATGTTTCACTTGTTTCTCTGCTCCAACACACCTGATTTGAATGAATGGGTGATTAAATGACTTCTGCAGAAGGTGTAAAGTTAATACAATCACTAAATCAGATGTGTTGGAGCAAAGAAACAAGTAAAACATGCAAGATAGCAGACCTTGAGGACAAGAATTCTCCACCCCTGACATAGGATCATACTATTATACAGAGAGGGAAACGGACGTGACAATCAGGTGGAGCATCTGTCTGTTCCCTTAAGGGTCCAGCATACTCGATCCTTTAAATAAAAATTAAAAGTTTGATTCAACCATTAAATAAAAGTAAGAATGTATGTTTTGTAACAAAAAATACACAAAATTAGGCAATTGTAAGACTTCTCATAAAAACATTAATTATGAAATAGTTTATAAACACACAAAGCCTCCATATTTGCCAAGTTAAGCTAAAACATGAGGCTGCAGATGATAACAGGTTAAGGGCCGTTAGGGAGCTCAAAGAGCCTTCTTTGGAATTTGTTTAACAAGAGCTGTCTCTCTGAACTTCTCATCACTAATTAAGACCATTGAAGGCAAAAATAGCATTAACAAAGAGAGAAACAATATATTTATGGATAACTGAGCTCCTGAACTGCCGCACATATTGACCTAAYTCTGCCTGAAACATTGGACTGAACAGCGAAGACCTACCCGGGCATTCACAGCCTCCCCCCTTGGCCCTGTTTGCTACTGCTGCGGCGTAGGACCTGGCATCCAGGATCAGTAACTTGTGGGGCTGGATGGCCAGTGTCTCCACTTCAGAGCTGTTGGTCATTGAGGATTCTGAAACCAAACAAGGACATTCATTACTTCAACCAAAACAAGAGCTGAAAAATCTTAAAGACCAAAGATGCATTCCTGTACACTTAGCATGATCTGACAAAACTTTTTATCTGAACTGTGTTTGTTTAAATCAGCTGCTTCAGACGAGCCTAAACAGGCTGAGTTGCACAACACCGCCTGTAACAAATTCCTCCAAGATCTCAAGCATTAAGTAGTCTGTCTGCAGGGTGCTAAGTCTGTACAGTAAATCATGGTTTACCAAAATCAGTATCTGGCAAGTCTGCTCCATTAGTGTAGCTTCCATTGGGGAGGTGCTTGCGGGAGCTGCTGTCCACGGCACAGGCCTTGGCAATGGACTGAACCAAGTGTTCGTCGTCAGCATTCCTCCAGCCCCACCAGCTGACCTCTGGTTGGCCACAGCGAGCGATCACAGCTCCTGTGCTCTGGTGTCTATGAGGCGGGTGTTAAGAAGTTAGCCGCTAACAGACTCACATTATCTTTAGGCAAATGACATTCACTTTTGTTTTTAAGGCTACAGAGTGAAGAAAAACAAGTACTAACATTGTTCAGACAAATATTTGGTAAGCAGACAAAATGTCAAAGATTTTTAACATTTACTGTTTCCTAAATGCCAAGTTCACATGTTTCCTATTTGTGATGTTTAGCCCTCAAACAAAATTTAGTGAAAAAGGATTTAATTATCAAAACTTAGGATGTAATTTTAAGTTTTTGTTTAAAAAAAACTTCTGCATATTAAAATTGTTTCTCAACTTATTTCTAAACAAATCAAATGATTGGGCACAAATAAAACAACTTGAATAGGTTATTGCTGCTTTTTGAAATGAATAATTTTTCTGATTTTTGTTTATAATGCTACAAAACCTCTCTTTTTCTTGACCTGCAGTCACAGCTCTACAGACAATTGTTCTTATTTTGGTTCTAAAAACAAATCCTGTTACTTCTCACATAAGGACAGATAAGTAATAAATAAAATAAAGCAGGACATGAGGCCATGATAAACTGTCATAAAAACTTTATCTACCAAAAACTCACTTTCACAGATTAATAACTTCAAGGCCATACAGAAGCCTGATACAGATTAAATCAAACATCTGTTTCAGTTAAAAAAAGAAGCTTTTACTTTCTGTCCAGCAGTAAATAAGCTGAAGTCTGGTTTGAAGAACTCAGGAAGAACCACTGACACCAACCTATATACTACAGCAGGAAACCTCTTCCAGGAGCGGAAGGCAGCCACATTCTCCAGCTCCTTGTCAGTGATCCAGGCTGGCACCAAGAGTTGCTGAGGATAGCTGGGGCAAAGCCTGGCAGGGCAGAGGGTCAGAGAAGAAAAGGGAGCATTAAAGGGTTGTGACGGCTCAACAAAAGTCTGTTTACACACACTAAATCCTGGGCTTAGTCACTTACAGCACCTGCCCAGTAGAGTACCAGTGGAGTACAATAATAACCATCCACTGTCAACACATACACTGGTTTGTGTTGTTGGTTAATAGAAGTGACTGAGACATAATAAACAAAGCCTGTTTTACCTGAACTTGCTGTTGATATCAGATATCCTCCAAGCATTCTGAGTGTCAAAACCCATCCTCTCCACCTCATTCTTGAACCACGAGGTCACGTGTTCCCCTGCAAAGAAAGCAGCGATGTCCGATAAGATTAGGGACAGACGAGACGTTCCGAAGGGGTTACTGTGAGGACAGATAGGAGACAGAGTCTCACCTGGCCTACACAGCTCGCAGTGCTGCTCCTTCTCTCCAGCATACACCTCCATGCACCAGGCGTGGAAGGCAAAGGAAAACAGGTCTTCCAAGCGAGAAGGAGGGTGCACTACACCGTTCAGACGTTTGAGCCATTCCTGGCACTGCTCAAAGGTGGAAAACTGACACCTGGAGACCAAATGTGAGGGCAAACACATGGTCAATAGCCCTCAAAGTATGAAAAATCCAACATCTACAACACAAATCCTGCAGTTCAGAAACAGGAAATTACTTCCTGGAATAATACACATTGAGAGAGAGGGGAAAAAATTTTAATGTTTTTAAAAAAGTAAAGATTTTGAAAGTTAGTTTTTGAATCTATTAAACTGACATGAAACAAAACAACACTAGTTTCACAGCTCCACTACTTATTCATTTAGGTTATTATTACTGTATTATCATTCTATTTTTTTCAGTACATTTAAGCAAGAAAATGTAGAAGTAAAAGAGTAAGAAGTGTTTTGTCACTTATAACGTTTGTTTTATTTTGAATGATTAATATAAACATGGCTTTTTTTTACTTAAGTACCAAGTTTATGTTTTTATGTTTTAAAGAAAGAATTATGTGAGAGAAGTGTGATCTTACTTCACACAAGCAAAAATCTTGAATCATACAGGCATTACATTAACCATTAACAATCCTTGTTGAGAATGATCATGAGTGTATAATCTTTATGTTCTTCCATCATTTGCCGTGTTTCCATCCAATTTATATTCACATTTTGAGTGAACTTCTAAAATGTCGCCAAAAGGAAAATAATAATAATAATAATAATAAAATAAAAAATAGAAAATAAAAAAGAAAAAGAAATGTGCATCAGACGTGTTTCCATCAACTGGCTTGAAGCTAATTAACCAGGCTACACAAAGTAATTACGTCAGACACATGGCTGTAGTAAACAGGAAGTAGAAGTCGCAAACTTGCAGGATCCACACATCYCAGGACAATGGAGAGATGTTMTCAGGAACGCGCTGCTACTATCAGGAAAGTTGTAATTATTCTGTCATATCAGCTAGTTCTGGTGATGTTACATGCTACATGATGTAGAAAAAAAACTGCAATTCTCTTCACATTACGGGAATAAGTGAGAATACGCCGACAGCAGTTGGAGGGTCCAGCTGCAGTCGCTCTGGTACCGGTACCAGACAGACAGCAGGAACAGCTGATAAACCATGTGAGGTAAATGTTTGCTACATCAGATGCATTTAGGTACCGAAATGGAATTGCATGAACATTCACGTGGTGGTTATGTAATACAGTGAATCGATAATAAAAAAAATCTGCGTCAACAAATTTGCATAATCGACGTCATCGATTATTTCAACTAATTGGTGCAGCCCTAATTTTAAGTACTGCCTGGTAAATATAAAGCAGTATCAGAGGGGACATTCTGTTTAATATACGTCAAGTCTTTTATTCTGAAGTTCACCTGTTGGTTTACTTGTTGTGTATATGTATGAATTCAGTCTTTTACTCTGGCGATGACAGGAAGTGTGGTGAGACAAGGTTTTGTTGTAACGACGTTGAGTGACAGGGAAGGAACCTTTCACTGCTCTTACCTGACAACTTTACAGTCCTTACAGGTGACATGAAGCTGGAACATATCTCGACACTCCACACATTCAATCAGCTGCAGGGGGACCTGTGGAGACAAAAAACAGGGAAACGCCAAAACCATCAGCAAGCAGAACTCCTAGGGAGCCTGTCATTTCAACACAGATAAAACTAATATAAAGTCAAACTTAACACTGATTAGGATGCTTAAAGCAAGAATGTAAGTAAAACCAAGCTCATGCAGTCAGTACTGTAAGTGTAAAGGATGACAAATTATTTTAGCTAATTAGTCATGCCAAGCTGGGGAAACATTGAGTTCATCTCAAAAACTCTAATATAAACCAAACTATCCCCCAGACGCTTTTTTAAATTACACAGTGAATCTATTTTAGTATTTAAATTACAGCTCACGTGAATTCTAAAAATACAACATTTTCTTAATGGCAAAATAAACCAACTTCAATTACAGAGCATAAAAAGTTATATAGGCCTCTCCCTTTTGGAAGAGCGATAGTCTTATCCTTTATAGGCAAATACCAGTCAAAGTACACAACTCATGTTTATAACCTAACAGTATAGTTAAAGTACAACAGGATGAAGCTCTGTTGCTTTTTACTTTGCTAAATTAGTTAGGAGCACTTTTCAGCCGTGCTTCTGTCAAAAGGTGTGGCTGGCGCTGATGATCAGTCAGTCATGCACAATCACACGCCTGTCAACACGAGTCAGCTCTTAGTGCATGGATACAAAGACAGGCTACAGCTGTATGGAGATTTTGTTGATGGATTTGAAAAAATGCAGTTCAAATCTTGTGTCCAATCATGGTTCAGCGTAAAACATCTGGTGTTAAACAATAAAGAATCCCCTCCCTGAGGCACCAGCTAGTTAGCAGGCAGGCATGGTCTAAATTATAGAGTTTAAATCAACCACTCCACTCCATGCAGCTCTGCTGGGTACTTACTGACACCTCACAACAACAACTCTATTCAAGAGAAAGAAGAGGGAACTATCAGGAAGGTGATGACTGCTGATGTGTAAACCAGATTGGACTGCTATGATCATCACACATTCTGAATGTTTCTCTCAATCTAATTCTTCATCTCAAATATGGCCACAGCCAAAATTCCTAAGCTGCCTTTTTTAACTGCTTTGTCTCTTCCATGACCCACCCCCAGTTTGTGAGCTCCAGTGGCACGACGAGCAGGAAACAAACAAACTGGACTGGTTCATTCAGTAGAAACACTGAATGAATCCTATGAATGTGCAGGAGTGAAACCAAAAAGGTTTTATTTGTTTGTTCAAAACCATTTGGCACACTATGTTCCATATTACGTTTTATCAGATTAAAGAGCGCAGCATGCTGCATCCAAACTGACGAGATCGGACTGGATTGTTGCCGTTTCATGACTAAATTGCATCATTCTGTTCGCACTGTTGACATTTCGGCCCCTTCTTGTCGCGACCCGCTGGCAGAACTTTTTTACCCCCCTCCACATAAGAACTTACTGTGTGAATGGTGTGATTGTGGAGTGTTTGTTATGTTGAAAGTGCTCGGACTCTATATTTTGCTTCAATCACTTGCTTAAAAGAAAAAACCTACTTGCTTCCAGAAGCCGACTGTTGTAGGCTACCAGGAAGCAGATGTTTATACAGAGAGTCAAATGGTCAAAAACTCATGGGTGGAGATAAAGCAGACATTGTGCATGGAGGAATCTGACTGATACAAACTGTGGAGCTTTAACCAGGGACAGATTTGTGCACAATGTCGGTGACAGGTCTCGGATTTTTTTCCCAGACTCCAGTGGGAAGAAACCCGCTGTAGTGACATATATCCAGTGGGAAGGGTTTCTCAGGAGCTAAGGAAGGTGTGTGTGAAAACAAATGCTGACCATGCATCGTCCGATTGGCTGCTGAGTGACCATACTGAAGCCTTAAAGTGCTCCTTGAGTGACGCTTGGTGTCAAAATTGTCCAGTTGAAAACCTTGAACCCAAATTGAAGAGCATAAAGTTCTGCAGTAAACTAAATGCTTTAGCATCAACTTTGAGCTGAGCAGAAACTGCCTTGTTAAATTTGAATAATATTCCCACTCATAAAATTAGGTGTCAAATTATCTGATGCAATATTTGCATGACTGTAGAACGACAAGTTCTTATGACAATAATGCTTTATTGCTGTAACACTTCAGTCAAGACTGTTCTAAATGTAGGCAGCTGGTTTTAAAAGGTAAATTTAGTCTTGGCTCGAATCTGAGGGCAAATTGCCTTTGGTGATTCTAACAAAAACTTCCAAGAGCTTTTTATTTTCTACTGTCTATTAACGTCTGCGTTATAGAACATTTGGCTGAAATTTCAAGGTGCAACCAATTAATCAATTAATTACAACAGAGACATTGTTTCAGGGGATAAAGCAGATATTTTCCAAATTTTTCATTTTGTAAACAAATCTCATTAAATAAGCAAAACAAGCTTTGCTCTGATCCAGACATCCTCTATACGTCTATGGATTTCAGCAACAAGTTTATTTATATCAACAGAACACACCAAGAAAAAAAAACTACTAAACTAAAACAGGACATACAAACAGAGTTTAGTTTAATATTGATCTGTAGATGACCACTTGTTTTTAATAGAAAACAGGTTCAAACCAGATCAAATGGACTATTTGTTTGGGACCATTTCAGTATTCACTTTGATGTTCTTCAGATAGAATCTTCACAAGGATGTTTACAAAATATAAACAAGTTTGATATTTTCATTAATTCTCAACATTTTATGTTAGGTTCTTTATATAAACTAAAAGTATTCATTTTAACATATTCAAAATGCATTATTTTTAAATGAATATTGAAACATACCCTTAATAAAAGGAAGGGAAACAACCTAAATGTTTTATGCACCACATGTTCCTCATTGCACAACTCCTCTGCCTTTTATTGCCAGCTGAAAGGCTGCTCTGTGATCTGAACATAGCTTGTGTTTCCTGGGGCATGTAGGCAAACATTCTTAGAAAATTAGGGCAAATATGTGATTTGAGAGCAAAACATATTAAAACAATTGAATGTAAGAAAGCAAAGATATTACCCTACCATTAAAAACACTGAAAAGCAGAACCTGGGAAAGAAAAGCACCAACAACTGTGCACACAGCTACTTTTTGGTGATAAACAGGCATGGGATCAGTTAAGAAATTATATATATCTGTTGCTATAATGAACATAGTTGGAGAGGAGGGGGCTGACCGCCATGCCTTCCCTCTGGGGCAGCTGCAACCATGGCAATTAAAGGTCCAGAGAAAAAGTGAAGCAGGCGAATGTGGAGACAGAGGTGACAAAGAGTCACGCTGCAGTGGAGATCAGGTCTGAATGACCCGGTCAACATAGAACTGGTGAACAGCTTGGCTCCATTCTTTCACAAACAATAACACACTTTCACAACAGCTTCTAATCCAAACCAGGCACGCATTTTGTAGTTATTCTTAGCTGTGTAAGGGATATTCCTCTGTTGCTTATGCAAGCTTGGAGCTAATCGGTCACTGTTCCAAGATACTTACATTGACAACAGACTCTTTGAACTTTATATGTAGGCGGTAGTTGGACGTGGCAATGATGGCGTCCTCTGCTCTCCCCACATACTCTGTGAACTCCCCATGCAGCTCAGGAAAGGGCACCTAGCAACGGCAGGAAGTAAAACATGTCACATAAGCTGCAAAGCCACAAAGATCCAATCAGCAGTTCTTGCAGCACACAAACATGGAGCAATATGAAATGCTCAGATCAGCACAACTGCTTTAAAAACATGAAAAACATTTCTAAAACAGCAGGTCACCTTTTACATAGATTTCTTAAAGAAGTTATAGCTGCTGTGCAAAATAAATCCAAATAAAAACTGTTGTTTTTAGATAAGTAATGTAATAATCTGCTACAGCGATGGCATTTAATCAATTAGATATAAACTACTTTCCAATGCATCGCAGACAGGGAAGACTCTGAACTGATTTTCAGAAATCCAACATCAATTTTGTTCACGTTAATCTGTGCTTCTAATTAAGGAAAATTAGCAGTGGTCGTTGCGTGGTGCTGTTTGGCCTAATAGTTATCGTAGCTTCCTGTAGTAGAGAAATGTTGTAGTAAAATGATGTCTTCACATATTCCCTTCATTTTTTCCTAATCCAYTAATTTTTGAAGTTCACGTAACAGTTAGCATCTATGACAATTGTTAAATAGCAGCCTGTAAACAGTAGGATTGTTTGTTAATGTAAACTTTTTATTAATAATTTGTGTTTATTTGCATCACTTGGAATGAACTTCTATTGTTTTTTCCCCACTGAGAGGCTAAGGAAAAACAACTACTCTACTCTAATACTACCGTATTTAATAGACTAGAAGATAATGAAGACAGCTAACTGCGTGATGTGGAATGAGATTGGTGAATTTATCTGTAACTTTCTTGTTGGAATGCATCGGGCCTGGCTGGTTGTGCATTGAGCAGAGAGCTGCCTCGCTGTAGGTGCCGGCAAGGATCAAAATATTTCAAACACGCAAATCTTATTCCGTTTTATTTGTGACACAACAATAATGGATTACAGCAAACTCAAAGGAAACGTACCAAAGACTGTACCGGACTACCCAGCAGAACGAGGCTAATGACGAGAGGGCAGGACTACAGAGGACGGTAAGCTAATAATGGTAGCTTGTTGTTGGTAACTTGTTATTTGATATCTTGCTATGGATGTTGTTTAGTTGAACTCTTAAATGAAAACCTGTTGGACGAAGCAAACGATTCACATAAAGTTACTCTCATCTGTATGTTAATTAAGGTTATTCAGCATCCCAGGAGCTCTGTTCTGTGTGTGATTGTGTTATTCCAGGATTAAGGCGTGATTTATAATCTGTAGCGACTTACCTATGATTTTTTTTTCATGACACATTTTTTGACAGATGCGACTTATAGCACGGAAAAACATTTTAACAGGCCTGTTATTTATTTAATGATCAGAACTTTATGGCCGATTAGAAGCATCTTAACCATGTCTAAGATGTGAATATCTGTTGATGCATACACTTTGATAAAAAAGTTGATGTAGAGCCCAAATCTGCAAAACAAAAGTTTACAACCTTGTCTTGTAACTTCCTTTCCTGACATGCATTATTTCACAAGAATTTAAAGAATTTATTTTCAGTCTTGCCTTCAAAACTGTTTTGAAGCACCTATAGGAGCAGATTACAGAGTGCAGACTGAAAGAATTGTGAGGTTAATCGGTTTTTCCATGCAGTGAGGTTAGCAGCTGGCTCACCTGCAAGTTTTCTTCCTCCAGGACGGGGGACTTCTTGGGAAAGATCTGATTGGCCTGGATACATTCCAGGCTCTGCTGCCCCTCCTCCTCCTGCAAAAAGAAAAAAGAAGCCTGTTTATTCATAAACAAGCTGTAAACAGCTTTAACAACCATAACCATTTTAATATAAATGTTACCCTTTAGTTTTAACTTAGCTTCTGAAACGTCAAACATGGAATGGCTGATTGTTTTCATTTATCCATCACTCATTTTTCAGCTTGACTTTAGTTTTAATGACCACAGCATCGTCCGACTGGTCATAATCTTTGGAAATGGGTAAAGTGTCACGAGAGGGATTTTGTGACAGAGACCTGACATCAAACTGTCTTCCTCTTTTCACCCTCTAAAGTGCATCAAAGAAATGTACTATTATCAGCCCGTGTACAGTAAAACTATTATTTCTTAAAGAAATGCATATCACTTTGCATGACAAAGTTTTATCCACAGATCTTGAGTGATCTCAGCACATGAACAAGTTACATAAGCTCTATCACACCAGATTTGAGTTCTATATCTGGTAAAYTGGCTGAATAATAATCATTTTTGTGTATGCTATGGGTGCTTAGCTGTGGGGGCCTTTTGAATTGGACTTTTATGAGTGACAGACAAATGAACACACACAAACACAGAAAATTGGCAATTGCACAACTGTCTGTGTAATAACCAACTGTTGTATACTACGGCTGTATTCACACCAGGAATGTCCTTTGGTCCAATTGTTTCGTCCAGATTAAAAGTGGACTTTATTTTTTGTTTGGTGTGGTTTGAATTCACATTGTGCTTTTTGCAAGCAAACTATAATTTATAAACAAAGCCACACGTGTTACAATCATTGCTCCCATTAGACAGAAATGATAATGCTGTTAATACAACTGTAATACCTTTTAGAATTTCAAGAGCAGCWCATTCAAAGGCAGTTTCACTATGCTATACGTTTTTGGCACAGTGTCAGAAAATGTGCTGCAATCCAAAAGAGACGAGATGCTCTGTGTGCCCCGACCCACAACAGATCACTGTTTGTAGCACAGTGTTAGCATTAGCAACACTGAAGGGCTAATTGTTACCATGTTGCTTAGCAAAGGTGGCTCATGAAGTCCAAAAAGGCGTACGTTTCCTGTAGTTGGTTCGGTTCAAGGCTGGTCTGTATTCACACCAGAAGCGAACCGGCCCAGAGTTCATTTGGAAGCGGACCAAGACCACCTCAAAAATGGGTCTTGGTCCAGTTTTTTGATCTGCACCAGAATTTGCATGAGTGTGTTTACATCTGTATAAAAGGTCCAGACCAACGGAGGAAAAGACCTGATTCGTTTAAACTTTAAAGTGGACCAAATGTGTCAGGTGTGAATACACCATGAATGAAAGCACAACATGCAACTCTATAAGTAAAAATAAACAAAGAAATTATTTTACTTAAAACCACAAAAGAAAAGAGTATTTTATATGCAGTGTGCAACATTCTGTAGGTTTTTATGATGGCCAAATGTTTGAGGCAGCAGTAGTCATTAGAGCAACCATTTCAGTAGGGAATGTGAGGAATGAATATGTTTTTGTTTTTTTTACACAAACACAGTCTTGGATTTCGGCTCAAGGGTAAATTAAAAGAAGTTTAGACTAAACACCACACAGACTCATAACAGCAGGGGAAATAAATGCCTGATAACAGCAGTAGTACATCCTGTGTGATGGTAGCTCAGTATCATCAAAACTGAAAAACCAAGATAAATACTGCCAACAAACAGCAGAAAACTAAAAGAAAAACACCAATATGACTTTTTACACAATCGAGACAGATTTTTCATGGAAAACGTATCCAGATATCAGGTGTTCATAAGTGAATGTAACAACAGGATATTCCTGCAAAGAAAACTGAAAGCTGCCCTGCTTCAACAGCAACCTCAGAAGACCTTTGACACATTCAGTACTGACGCAACCATCTGCTTCCTGACAAGCACTGCTGATCGAAAGTGATAATCGATGAACAGTTCCGATTTCAGACTGCAGTCAGGCTGATGGATATAACAGTCATCACTCAAAACAGTAAACAAAACTAATACTTTACCATGGCCCCTGTGAAGGAGTGTGGGTCACCCAACAAGGAACTTTGGCTTCAATCTGGCTGAACAACAAAAGCACAGAAAGTCAACACATTACTATGAATAAGTAGACTGCACAGTAATGTACATTACCTCTGAGCCAAGATACTACTCAAGTATAGCTGCCATTTTATCCCTATAGCTGGTGCAAACTTCTTTTAAACTATAGTGTTTCAAAGGTTTCAAAATCTGCTGCATGTTTTCAACTCAGATGTTTGAATAGAGATATGCTAACAATACAGCCAACAACGTTATCTTTCTCTTTAATTTSATAGTATTAATCTGAAAAACATTAGTTACTGGGTGTTTTAGGAGAATCTATTTGTTATAAACAGACATTCAAATAATTTTGAGTTAAAGGTTGTTTGGAGAAAAGTTTTGTGGTGGATATGGAGCATCAACCACAAGTGTAAATTTTCCCAAATTGAGTCCGAACAGGGACCTCCTTGACAAACCATTCATAATCTCTCTCTCTCTCTCAAATCTCAAAATTTATACTTGCGTCTTTGTTGTCCACCTAAAAAAAAAGGGTGGAAAACTGTTTATTAAAGTTACCCAAAAACCATGCAAAAAGTAGAAATTAGAAATCAAACGGACCCCCCCCACCACCACCAATGCTCACAGCTGGTGAATGGAAAATCTTTTCATTACAATGTAATGACAGAACAGGTGGGTTTAGTGCAACTAATATTGTTAGCGCAATAGTACTGCATGTTTTCCTAATGCTGTGCAGTCCTAATGTCTGGGAGAAGCTAGGAAGAATTTGGGATTTCAATATGATAAAAATGACTGAAGGAGGAAATATAACTTCAGAGAGAAACCTGAAACCAATATCCATTGTTGTGATAGTGGGGCCCTCAGGCTGCACTGAATTAAAAACAGACAGAATAGTGATACAGTAGAAGTCCCTGCAAGAAAACAGAGACACTCAATTTATCACTCCGCACACAAGCGCACGTTAGAACTCAATAAGAAAAAGAAGTWAAAAAAAAGATGAAGCTGCTTCCTCTGAACTGATGCTGTGAAAACCAGATTGGGCAAATCTTGGAAAAAAGTTATCTAGAGGTAAATTAGTCTAAAAGTTATTCACAAACACATAGAACAACATTTGTATAAACACAAGATTGACAAAAACAATGAACAGTTTTCCAAATGTTCATGTTAAACTACACAAGTGGAAATATGCTACGTATACAGATTGTCCAATGTGCGTGCATAAATCGCCTGCTAGGGATGGATCAGTCAATACGAGCGAACAGCTTGTCCGTGCATGTGACTTTTCAGACTTTCTCACTCCAGATGCACAAATTGTTCAAGGCTGGTGAAAAGCTTGGATGTCTGGGCCTTACAAAATTTACTGAGTTATTAAAAAAAACTACGCATTTCTGATTTTGCACAGTAGCTCATAACCCATATAGCAAAACACAAATGCTTTGTTTGAGGTTATTGGATTGCAAATATGTTAACTTTGTGAACTGTACATCTGAAATAAATTACCAAAATAAATATGGTTTCTTCTTCTTTGAAAACAAACTGAAAAAAAAAATGTTTAGCAGAGCGTCCTCTTCTGGCAACAACCTAGCCTCGACCAGCAGATAGTAGGAATGCGCGATATAAACGATATACAGTAGAAACGATATAAATTTGTCCTATGATAGAGATCTGTAGTCTACCGGCCAACCACGCAATTGTTTTTGATGATGTAACAGGCTGTAGTCAAAACAGAGGAWGCGGGAAGCAGCGTGGCTGAGAGCACAAATGAAGAGAGGGTGAAAAAAAACACCCGAACCGGACCTGGTTCGGGTGTGTGAAAATGAACACCGAACTGTTTACATATTTATGTGACGGGGCATCCTCCGGTCGGATGCCGGCCAACTGACCGACCACACTGCCTGCTGCAGGAGGAGCGCGCGCCGCGGCACATGACGCAGCGAGGCAACAGTCAGTGCAGGTGAAGTAGGGCTCCAGGACGCACAAAAGCTCGCTCAGTCTGGACCTCGTTTCTCCTGCGGTCATAGCGCGACACCGCACGGCCGAATGCGAGCGCACTCCGCACGCACTTCGCGCGCGACTATAAAACTCAGCCTTTACTGTCTCCTTTACAGCGGTCCAATATCAGCCAAAAAACGAGTATCGGTTTTTATCGGCCTGCATAAAAATTATCCGATATAAGCGCTCCGATATAAGCAGTCCAATCCAGCAGTCCACTGACTCCGCTCCAGTGTTTCTTTCCAGCAGCGCTTGGATCCAGCATGCAGAGCTCACGTGATCACAACAACACGCTGCGCTAACAAAGTAGCAAGAAGTAGGAGCGATGTCAGCAGAACTTTCTATTTTCATCAGAAACAGAGTTGAAGATAAGTGCAAAATTGTCACGCACAAGTTTTCCGTGGGGAACAGAACCGTGTACGTTTTAAACCAGAGAGACAACCAGGCTCTGCTCTCCACCCGGCCAGCAGCTATGCTGTTCGGCTCGGTTTGGCCTTGGTCCAGTGTGTCTCTATTTCCAACCGCACACAGCCGCTGTTTCGGAACCTCCTCTCCGGTCCATACAGCGCGCTTATGGTTTTGACATCAGCAGAATGCTCCCCATGGATTAGCTCTGGAATTGATGGACAGAAGAAAGGAGAGCGCAGCTTTGTTTTGGAATATGAGTGCGACGTGGTGAGAGCAATCACCACGTGATTCTCAGACTGTAGAAAGTGGAAATGCAGCAGTAAGAAAGGTAGCTATCAATTTAATTAACTGACTAATTCCTACTACTTATTTTTGCTCTTGTTTGTAGAGTGATGTTTAGTGTGTTTACACACTTGTTTTAGTGAAGATTAAGTGCAATGATCACGTTGTTTTGGGCACAGTCAGTTAAACTGGAGCTGTGGACTCTTAACTTTGAACAGTTGGACATTGGACAATAATGTGGGGTTTTGTTTTGTCCCCACCTTCATTTTTTCCCACCACAAAGCAGCACAAGGCTGAAATTTAGTAAAAAAATAACTGGAGTGATTTTGAATTGTTATTTTACTCTTTAAAAGTACATTTTGTATGTATTATGTTTTATTTTTCAGGGTCTTCTAATTTATTTTATTAAATTGTAGAATGTTCTTCAATTTAAAATGTATGTGATCCATCGATTAAAATAAATGGGTTAATTTTTCTCATACCTACTCTTTTTTACTGTTTGACTTGATCAAGACTTTTCTAAGATTTCACACTAGAAAATAGGTAAAAGTGTGTGATTCGTACTGATATGGTATCAGGTCAATATCGGTATCGTATCGGAAGTGAAAAAGTTGTATTGGGACACCCCTAATCCAAACTGCCAAAATTGTCTCTCACTGTCACAGCTGCATGACAAAAATTGTGTCAAACAGTTCACAGCTTCGAGTCTTCCAACCGTTCTTGTCTCAACTCACTGGGAGAACTTTTTACCCCCTCCACATAAGAACTTACTGTGTGATTGGTCAGAAGGCTTTGTTTATGCCTAATTGTGCTCAGATGTTGCATTTTCAACTTCATCTTCAACCACACGCTCAAAAAACTACTGGCTTCCAGAAGCCAACTGTTGTACCTGGAAGCAGACATTTATAAAGCTAGTCATGAATGGACATACAACAGTTGATGTCCACAGAAAAATCCATCTGCAGAAAAGTGTGGAGTTTAACCAGGACAACCCTGTGACTGTGCATCAACTGTTCGGCTTCAGATGTAGTATGCGGACGTCTTATGTCCATTGTCTGACATAAGTATAGTGTAAACATGAATGCAGAAAAAAAGGCAGCAAGTGTTGCCAGTGGGACTGAACAGGTTGATAACATTTATTATCTTAAATAATACAGAAGTTATCCATGTCCAACAGTTGGGTGCAGATGTCCCAGCTTTTCACCAACCATGAATGCAGCATTACATTTGTGGTGCTGACTGAATTGTATGTAGCATAATCCTACTTGTGCCATTTGAAACATGTACATTTGACACACTGTTTATGCATACTAAGAATATTGTTTCTTTGTTGTTCTAGGCTATAAACTGCCTTAAATACCAATGAGATGCAAGGAAGAAAAGAGAACTTTCAGTAGAAAACCTATTCAGCATAACATAATGTACACTTGGTCGTCACTGACCTTTAGAAACACTGTTGGCTGTGGAATAAAATAATGTCAAATAAAACTTAAAGTTCTTTTATAGACTTACTGCGGACAATCAGCAATGAACGACTGGTAGTTGTGGTGGTCCTGTTCAGAAATTCACAAGCAAAACATCTGTAAAATAAAATAAAAATAATGGGAAAATGCTTTTACTTTGAAACATTGCTACATTTTGTAAATGGATGTTTTAGAGACACACTGGATACAAAAACCCCTTTGATTCCCTGGTAAATATAGACATACTGGTGGTCACTGCGGCTTACATGTGAGCTGAGAATGAGATACTACTTAAACTCAAATGCAGAGTGGGGAAACTCTCCTCTGAATATCAAAGCACCAAGTCTACAGTTAGCTAGGCCTGTCATTCCCAAACTTTTCAGCAAAAAAAATAAAAATAAAAAAATACTAAAAGTGAAAGGGATTGTGACCTTAACTGGTACAGAGTTTGCTAATAGTCATTTAGGTGGTATCTCACTGGGCTGTGGCTATTAGAGATGAGCTGAGGACTCAAAATTGTGGGAAAATGGGCACATTTTTCTATTGCAGTCTCATTGAGTTCTGAGTGTTTGTGTGACCATCGAGCCACACAGCCACATTTTGAGTGGCCAGTTATTGAAAATTATGGCCATATTATGTGTGCATGGCTTGCAAAACCTTATTCTAGGAGTGCACATTATTTCATTGCCCATATCGTATCTACCTCAGCTTGTTTTATATCTGCCTTGAAAGCCATCTCCTTATGATTTCATCTGCTGGATTACACTTTAGAAATAGAGATAGACGGTTTTGGAGAAGTTTTTAATAATTACCATATATCTTCATCAAACCTAGACTATTGCCTCAAATGTTTTCTGAAAGGAGAGAGCTTCCTTTTTTATCAAAATACAGCCCTAATGCTCTATAGATAGAGTCACCCACAACACAGTTGAGTTCAGACAGTTTCAAGACGCTTGTGTCAAACACTTGTGAGTATTTAGAGAAAAAAAATTGGTCACCAAAATATCTTTCAAAATTCATGCAGCAGGACTATGCACCTCTCGGAAGAGGAAAGTGAGAACTGCAATGAATGTTGTGAGACACTCTGGAGATTCATTTACAAAAGTTGTTTAACAAATGGTCACGAGCAGCCACAGTGATACTACCTTAATAAACCTTTTATCATACAACCTCGTCAAACTTCACTTTTTTTCTATGCACTGACGAAATATGATTCAATTTCTCTAGAAAAGTTTGAGTTACACCAATGGCAATCAATTTTTAAGTTACTTTGATTTCTGTAGATTTTCTCAGGATCTTCAAAATAATGTTACATGACTCACAGTGGGGTCCTGACCCCAACTTTATAAACCTCTGGACTAGGCTATGTGGCCTGATCGTCTCATCTGTCTGACATGAAGAAAAAAAAAAATAACCTATACACAATGTTTTTAATTGCTTGTTTTATTAACTCATGCAGTTAATTCTAGTAGTTTATATTACTCTTAGGTAACTTGATAAATGTCATTCCTGTATTTGAATRGACTAAAATGTATGAATAAAAGCAGCTTTATAATAGTATGGACACTTTGTATGAAAGTTTTTTTTTTCTCGTAAACAGGCAATCTGTTCTGGATATCTGAGCGTAATGTTTAACAAATCGTTGGAAAGGTCAGCTACTCCTGCAGAGACTGAAATCTGATCTAAGGAGGGAGGAGGTCAGTGAATGGGCAGCTCAGAAGTACAACACACCTTCTAAAGCACATTAACACATCCCAGACATTAAAAAAAAACCCTGCAGTTTAACTTGTTATAGATGAGTCCTGGTCTTTTAGTGTTGACGAGCAGAAAAGGAAGTGATTACTTCACAAATGACGGCTCCTGCTGTCACTGCTGGCGCTACCTGATAAAGCATATCTGTCCAACACACGTCTCTGTTTACATCAGCGGGCTCATGACCAGAGTCTGCCTCCAGTCCGGCAGAGCTGCTGTCCTGTAAACACTGAGCCTCACACTCCTCCACGATTTTAGCGACTTCACAAAAATACGTACGGACTGCTGGGCCGATTATTTAAGCTGACTGACAAGTCAGGGTAGCTAAACGTTTGCAATAAACAAGAGGACTAAAAGTAATGGCTGACTAACAGAGTTAGCTTAAACGTTGCAATTCCCAAATTAACAAGTAAAAATACAGATTTAACCAAAATAAAAAAAAGGCTGTAATTATGTATGAAATAAAGTCGAGGGGGRAAAAAAGCCACAGCATATATCTTAACATTTATCAAGAACGTGACTACGTATCGACATTAATTTATCTAACATAATAAAGAAACTTCCACTTTACAGGCCAGCCAGGTATTTTAAAACAACCGGCCTTAGATTTGCGGTAATGTTGTGGTTGTTCTTTCTTGTTTTTGTTGAAGCTAACGACAACAGCTAGCAGCTAGCTAACGTCACTTAAAAAGCGAACTAATACTTAGAGAGGTTATAAGGACTGAAAGTAGCCCTGATAAGCAGCGGGCTCTCTTAGCAGTCGGTATTAGGTTTTAGTTGCCGCACCGCAAACAAGTCAGTGAGCTGACTACTTAGCATTAGCTGACTGAGGTAGCGCCGCTGACTGAACGCAACTGTTTTTGTTGTGAGATGGAGGGCGGACCCCAGGACGGAGGCCTCTGTCAAAACACAGCGAGGACTCTCCACACCCGGTAGACTCACCAGTGAAAGCAGCGGCGAAGTGGTCAGCAGCCCGTGACTCATCCGAAGCCCATGCAATAACTCAACAGCAAACCAATATCAGAGAAACAGGTAATAGTCATATCCAAGCCGAAGTGAGCTTCACTGCGTCCCCCTCCAGCGCCGAGCCTTCGTCGCCATCGCCGTGAAATCTCCAGCCCAACAACATACGTGTTTCGGTGACGCCATGACGCAGGTGCGTGCTTTGCGTGAGGAGGTGGGGCTTCATGGACCATGCGTTCCTTAATAAAAACACTACTGGCAGAAATGCTAACGACACTATTTCTAGTAATAATGAAACTATCATTAAATGCTTTACACATAATATATTTACTATGATCGTATATCATATTAATTTTACTAAGACACACTATACTATTTTATAAAGGACAGAGAGATTTTCTATTAGTTTGGATGCTTGTCATCGTGATTTGTGATAAATGTCAAAATTTCTTAATGAAAACAAATAAAAACACAACATGGCAGGATCTCAAACAATAATGTATTGACTGATGGCTTACATATGCAGTTTTAATTTAAAGAGGCTTGACACACTATTGTTAATTCTTTAACATTTGACAGCCTGGTAACATGTGAGGCATTACAAAGTTATTTGAGCCTAGAGGACATTYCTTTCCTGGCTCACAGCTGACTATCAAACCACAAAATTTCTTTTAGGCAACCAACCCCCCCAGTTGTAAATCTTATTTTTATACCACCAACTGTGATCAGAATTATTAAACATTTTGCTGATCACCTAATTTAGTGACTAATGTCAATTATAAAATAAAAAATAATTTAATGTGTAGAGCTCTTGTAATAATAATAATAAAAAGCTTAGCTTTTTCTTTTTTTAACAGTTACAAAAAGCCCTACACACTGCTCAATCACACTTTACCACAAGACATTTCTCTGTGAGGAAAATGCATGAGGCATATGATATGGCACCAAATAATTTGGATTTAAATATTAACTTGGAATAAGGATTATAAGGCCAATATTGAGTTTCCTTTTGCCACACAGTACTTTACTAGAGCCATATTTGATCAGCTGCACCATGCATGGACTTCACAAACGCAAAACAAAACAAAACAACAAAAAGAGACCCTAAGTGTTGAATCAGTGTTCCTGTGTCAGAACAATAAAACAAAAACAGTCAGTCATCTTGTCATGTGACCAGAGTGGATTGCATGCAAAACAATTAGATGATAATTAGAAGATAATGATCAAGGTAAATACATTTCTTTTTCTTGTTCAGTCACGTGCCCATGTTACAATAAAAGACAATGGCCGTTTCACAAAAGAAATGTCACTCCAAATCGTACAGTATATTATGCACAAATGATGGTGGAAAGAAAACCAGCTGAAACTCTCCAAGAAAAACAAAACAAAACAGTATTTCAGAGAGCAAGTCAAAAAAAAAAAAAAACACACCATCAGCCATTTCCTGGCATCTACATTGTACTTTGACACATCTGTGTAATGAATTACAAAACTGCATCAAGTCTCCCAACAAATCATTTTATGTGAGAGCTGAAATTCCCATAATCATACAACTTCCACATGATCATTTATTGAACAGTATAACAGAGTCATTCTCTACACCACATGTTTATCATAATCACCATCACCGATGAGAGCAAATGCACCGATAAAGCTTTAAAAAGCAAGACTACCCTGAGAGAAAGGTCTAAAACATGGGCAAGCCTGCCAGACCAGAACTGGCTTGAATGGGTTTGGTTTATTAAATCTGTACACTCTATTTTATTATATTCAGCACAATTTGTCCCAAGAATGTAGGATTTTATTTTATTTTATTTTATAATTGTGTAATATATACCTCTACATAATACAATCCAAGTCCTCGGAACTATGTAGACATGTGCAAGTGTTTTACTACCAAATTCAACAATACAGTAAAGGCAAAGACTTGCGGACACTAAGTTAGGATAATGTTTATAGATGAAATTTTCTTGAGTCCTCACAATTATCAAAATCTAAGTGCTGTAAGTACTTCATACACGAGGTATTGAATATCTAGTTAACTGTTCTGAGTATAAAATASAGGCAAAATACAAAAAAGAACATCTTGCAAGCATGACAAAAGAAACGGCTACAGACACAATACACGAGTGGTCAAAGATAAAATGAGGGCGTGTTCTTTAATCTAGTGTACTTACAAACTGAATGTTTTCAGGTTGATGAGGGCAGACTGTATTTATCACGCTTTCAAAGAGACCGAGCTTAAAGCAGTGAACACCACTGCAGTGCTTGGAAGCTTGGGCTTTTTGTCACGTTTATTCTAACTCGTTTTAGGAATGTGCACTCAACCAGGAGCTACCCGACAGAAGATCAGCGCACATACACAGGAAGCATTTCCAACGTATTAATGGAGAAAATAAGTGTCCACCCAATTTAAAATCTAGGGTTCATATCAGAATATAATAAAAAYGACTAGGTCTTTACCAGGCTTTCAAATTCTAACCTCAAATGTATAAAAATAGACAACAAAATGTGATTATTTATTTAAAAAACAAGAATGAAAAGTCCACCTCATGATCCAACAGTTTATTGAATCTTCTATAGCAGCAATAACTCAGCAGCTGTCTTCTGATTTTGAAAGGTTGTGGAGGAATTCTGACCCAATCCTCTTTACAACACTGCTTTATGTCATTAAAGTTGAAGACATTAGTTTCTGACAAGCTCTCTGAAGACGCCCCCCCCCCCCCACACACACACACACACACACAGCGTTTCAGTCAGGTTGATGTCTGGACTTGTTCTGAACCCTTACAGCACCTTGACTCTGTTGTAGATTAGCTGCTACATGGTTTGGTCCAAGCTTTCAGCTGTCAGACAGGTGGTCTCACATGTGACTCTAGAACTGTTTGGTCCACAGAGGAGTCCATGRTGGACTCSATGACTGCAAGATTTCCATGTCCTGCGGCTGCAAAACAAGCCCAGATCAACACACTTCCACCACCGTGCTCGTGCTGATACWCTGTTTGGATTTCTCCTAACATGATGCTTTGCAATGTGGGTAAAATCGCTACTGTAGTCTCATCCGTCCAAAAGGACACTGTTGGTTCAGATACTGAACCTCTTAAATCCTATGAAAGCAAAAAGAGTGGACTTATAAGTTTTTTCACACAGGTTAATTTTTGTTTAATAAATAATGAAGGAGCCAGTTGAGTTAGATTTGAATGATTTTGGAACCTGGCAAAGACCAGTTCATTTGATCATGTTCTGGTTTGTTAAATCTCCTGTTCTTTTTCTTTTTCTAAAACTAATTCTGCAAATAATCCCAACATTCCTGTGATTTATTTCTTCAACTCTGCTTCTTTTTAGATCACTAAAGAACCGAATCCCATCTGAAGCGTGGCACAGAGTGATTGTTTTTGTTCCTGTCTGTTCAAACTGCGGCTCATGTTCATGTTTATGAAATGCATGGTGTGTACAGACCTAATCTGAGGTAAACCAGGTGTCCTGTGTCTTGGCCCGTTAGAATCTGAGARCCAGTGCCTTAGAGGGTTAAAGAGGTAAGTCTGAAAGTAAATCCTGTGCTTATGTGAAGTGAATGTTTCACTTCCTACCAAAAGCACATGGGCCGTAAACTGTAAACCTCAAAGTTTATTAAAAAAAATAGTGTTAAGTTTATCGTTATGTTTTTTCCCCTTTTTTTGCAGGCCTTTCAACTTTATGTTGTTCAACCTTTTTTGTCTGTTTTTGCTCAAGTATATTCACAGGTGACTAACTACATAGAATAAAAGGGTCAGGTGAGTATCATGCTACATCAGATTCAGAGAAGGCTATTGCAGACAATTCTACAACATGTACAACCACATTTTATACGTGTGAGTTACAAATATTTCAAAACATATCACCAAGAAACTAAGTACATACAAGAAGTTGAATATTTAGAGTCTTAAAGGACTATCCCTCAGTCAGTAAKTGGATTTCATGTTACTTGACTTAAACTGTCCCGTCTGACAGACAAAATTTGAAAAACTGCTATTCAAAAAGTAGCAAATTTGGTCGATGTCTCTTTTCAAACAGTTATAGTGCTTTTAATGGCTTAAGACAGAGGTCTTTTTTAATCTCACCCAGTGGCAATCTTCAGAACTTCAGTGTACATTTTATGACACCATAGCTGCAAAAGTCTTCAGGTCAAGTCCAATAGGTAAAACAACAGTTAGTGCTGTCACATAGATTTCAAAGCAGTACACACGATTAAAAAAAGGTGTCTTTATAAATTATTTTTTTTCAACTCTTAAGTTATTGTAGGAAATTCAGCTTCATGTTTAGATTTGCGTTCTCATTTCCTGGGAGCTTTTCATRTTTGCAGGAAGCTTGTATCAGAGCCTCCTGTGTGCAGTGAGGGACAGTTACCAGACGCTGGGGGGTGGGCTTAGAACTCCCACTCCAGTGTTTCTTCCCGATTGGCTGCTCTCTCCAGCCTGTGGATGATGTTGTTGAGGTTGGCCATTTTCTCGTTGCGTCTCTGAGTGTTTCTGTTCAGTTTGGGGCTCTGGAAGGGGGGCGGCAGGTTTGCGTCCAGGCTGTGGCCGGTGCTCGCGGGGGGAGGGTTGGGCAGCGAGGGCGATATCGGAGCAGAGGACGAGGGGACGGGGGAGACCGACATCATGAGGCCTGGGGACGAGGCGGCGGATGGGGAGTTGAGGGAGACCTCGAGGCTGCTGCGGCACGGCTCCGACGAAGACTTGAAGCTGACTGGGTCCACGGGGGACTTCCTGGATTCTTCGCCCTCGTGCCTGGACTGGTTGGCTCTCTGAGGGCCGTCCGTGGAGAGGGCGCCAGGGTAAAGTCCTTGAACCTGGCCGCTCACCCTTTCCTCCTGCATCAGGCTCTGGCCAGCCAAGTGGGGCTCATGACAGCCAGAGTCCTCGTGCTCGCTTTTTAAAGACGGGAACGGCTCGGCTTTAGGAAAACAGTGAACTCCTGATGGTTTCATGGCGCCGTCCCTGTCCTCCCCCCCACCATCTTCCCTGTCTGTCGCCTCCTGTTTGACACGAGGCAGCGGGCTGTTGATGCTGGAGTGGACGTGTCCTGAGGGCGGCTGCAGCCTCCTCTCCTCTCCGTCAGAGTGGGGGTTCCCTGTCACCGGGGGGGAGTAGCTGGGTTGTTCAGCATCTGTGTCGTTATCTGGAAGACCCTCCATAAGCACTTCCCGTCGCATCCTGGACCTGCATAATATCACTACTGTCAGAAAAAAACTTTACATACTTAAAGGTACAGCCTTTATTTCACTCAAGAGTTTTAAACCAAAGGACCAAGTTATTGGCATTATGTCTCATGCAATATTGTGAAATCTCATCAGATGTGTTACCACACCAAATTACAGCACTATGAGGCGCCAAGTGTCAAAAGAAATGTTAAAAAACATATTTTTCATTATTTAGCTCACTTTTTGTGTTAAAAAATTTCCACTAAAATTTTGTTATTTAGCTCACTGTTTTTACATTTAGCAATTTTTTTTACTAAATGTTAAATTTAAATGTTAAAAAATATATTTAAATATTAAATCCTAAATCTAAATATTTAAATCTAAATGTAAATGTTAAACCTTAAATGTTAAAGTTCACATTTAGGTATTTTGGAATGGAACGCAGTCTTTGCTGTTGATGCTCGGCTCATGTCATGATGTCATCATCCTGAGACAATGGCATCCGCTAGTGCTCCAACGCAGCTAAAGCTTCCCTACAAGACATCAAACTTGCAGTTATGGCTGGTGTCTGAGCTGCACTTCAAACTGCTGGACCACAGGGACCACCCAGATTGATTTTTATGAACACATTTTGAATTTAGATTTTGAATATTATCTTCAGCAGAGTTAGCAGAAGCTAGCGGTGGCTAGTAGCAGATGATTCAAATTCGAAATTCAAATTCAAAAATACTTTATTGATCCCAGAGGGAAATTAGGTGTTGTTGTAACTCATTTAACTAAAAACTTATTGTAGATGCTGATGACTGTGGGCAGGAAAGATCTTCTGCAGTGGTCTGTATTACAGTGAAGTTGAAGAAGCCTCCGACTGAAGACACTTTGTCTTTCTATGACAGTCTGATGAAAAGGATGGTCAGGGTTGTCCACAGGTGACGGTGACGGTGATGGTGTCGGCTGCGTTCCATTCCAAAATACCTAAATGTGAACTTCAACATTTAAGGTTTAACTTTTACATTTAGATTTAAACATTTAGATTTAGCATTAAACATTAAAATATTTTTTTTAATATTTAAATTTGATAATTAGTAAAAATGACCTAAATGTAAGAACAGTGAGCTGAAGTCTAACTTTTAACATTTCATTTTATACTTGGTGCCACATACAGCTCAGTATCTTGTATGGGTCAGAAACAGGACTGAACTGGCCTGTAGTTGTGGAACCAGTTGATGACAGTGTTGGTTTTGAGGTGAAGCTGCGATGCCAGCATCTCAATGGTGTTCTGAGACGGGTATGGCTCCAGCAGGTAAGCCTTCCTCAGGGCTTCCTTCTCTTCTGCCCCGAGCACCACCCGAGGCTTCTTCACCTGACTGAAGGGGCACAAGTCCAGCGAGGCCAGGGCAGGACTCACACACTCGGACCGGGTGCTGGGCGAGTCGCTGTCAGAGCCGGTGCTCAGCAGCCCGTACCGCCTCTTCAGATAAGCTGGGATCAGGGAAACGCAGCAGGTTGGATTAAAACACATCAGAAGCACTGATACACAGGAAGATCTGACAGAAAGCTCTGAGTCCACACCTTTTTTCTCCATCTTCTTCATGGTCCTCAGCTTGTCCACGTTGTGAGGATCATTGAGCCAAAGCTGCATGCGGACAAAGGGTTCTCTGCCTTTTAGGCTGAGTTTGTGCCAGGGTTTGGGCCTGGAGAGCAGGTCAGATACTGAACCCTGAGTCAGACCCAGGATGGTCTCGCCAAAAAGACGTTGGCCTGCAAACAAACAAAACGCTATAAACCAAGTAGTAACTGYGTCCACCACAAGCCTGAAGTCAGAACTTAGACCCACCAAGGTTGTTGTCAGTTAGCACCTCCTTGACCTTCTTAGTGATGGCGTATGTGTCCAGTTCTGGAGACATGGCTACCAGCTCCTGGATGCCCAGCGGGGTGGTGGGCTGATGCAGAGCCATGAGACTGGGGGTGGGTTTCTCTCCTTCTGTGTGGGTGGGCAGCCCCAGACCCAGGCTTTCAGGCTGTTGGTTCTCTTTGCTGCTCTCCAGTGAGAGACTGACGGGCTCCACCAGTGGACTGGGGTGGCTCTCTGCCGGACTAGGAGGTGGCGAGGGCGACGACTGGGCTGTCACTGGACTTTTATCTGAAAACAGGAAAATTTGGATGGTTTTAAACTTCTCTTTCAGCGATGCATCAATCTCTCTCTCTTTAWATATATAGTTACTGTTTGGTACACTACAGGAGTTGTGTGTTTGTGGTTTATACCCTGAGTGTGTCCCTGGTTCAGGGGCTGACTGAGGCTCTGGCCCAATTGATCCAGTAGCCACAGCTGCATGCGGATGAAGGGCTCCCTGCCTTTCTGAGTCAGCTTGCTCCAGGGTTTTGGCCGGGACAGCATGTCGCTGACACTGCCCTGAGAAAGCCCAAGCACCTGTGTCGTACACAGTAAGACCTTAGAACAGTTTCACACATTAAACACCAAGTTTATCAGTGGAATATGAAGGATCAACAGTTCAAACTGTTAGAACAGAATGAAACCTTCCTGAGTAGTGCACTTTCAGAAAACCACCACTAGAGGGAGACAACACACTAAAAATGATACACGTTAGGTTTAAAAGTTTCATGTAGGAATAAAAGCTCACTTCAATAAATCAATATTTATATAATTGTTAAAATAATCACAAACATGTATTTCTTTGTTAAAAACTGAACTGATTTTTTTATATTTTACAAATGTCAAGCTATTAAGTACAATGCTGTGTGAAATGAAAACTAACAGTTTAATTACTGCATTTGCAGCGATTTCCAAAATAAGACTATATGTCTCTACAGGAGCTTTATATGAGATCATCATGAAAATAGTTAAAACATAATGTTAGTTGTGTGATCAGAGTGTTATGATAGTCTGAATTTTAGATTTCCCCTCTAAACACCAGTAAATCTAGCATCCAACTCAAAGTTATTCTCATATAACTATCATTTTTGATTGACAGATAAATAAATGGCTTAACTCTGTGGTAAAGAGCTGTTTTCTACAASTCCAACATGTCCAAACTCAAACCCATTGTCTCTAACAGAACCTGGCAGTGAGTTCTGTATTTGTCACTTCCAGGTTAGATTTGAACTCATTTCATTTGAATTCAGCATCGGTCCATCTGCAGCCAGACTTTCCACTGGTATCATGAAAAGATATGGTACAGCTCCAGTGTTAGCCTCTCTCCACTGACTACCTGTTAAATTAAGAATTGATTTTAAATTCTGTTGTTGTTTTATTTTTTTAAGCTTTGCATGGCCTGGCACCTAAACGTTTCTCTGAACTTATTTTTGTTTTCGATGTCGTAAATCTTCTGAACAACTGCTTTTAGACTGGATCCTGTTTTTACTTTAACATCCATAAAGCTTTGGGACAATCTTTCACTCCTAATACGTAAAACGTGTCCTCTCTGCTGAAGCTGGTAAAACACAGCTTAAGACATTTTATTTGACTTTTACTTGCAATTAACAGTTTGTTTTTTTAAGTAATTGAGCATTTTTACCCCATGTTTTATCATCTCTTTTCTGTTTCAGTTAGTTTGTTTTTGCTTTTTCATATCTGTATTTGACTGGTTTTATGGTTTAATTGTACAGCACTTTGCTCAATAATAATAGTTGGTTTGATAATTTAATCTGACCATTACAAAAATTATAAGATAAAATAAAAAGACTCAGCTCATTAGCTTCATTCTGTGCTCCTTTAAACCAACACAGCACCAGTTTTCTACAAGAATAGGAGACGTATTACAACAGAGGTTAAGCTGCTTTGTCATCTCAACCGTTACAAACTGTCCTTCTGTCTTCAGTACTGAAATTATGTGGACACAATATCTAACTGCACATTTGAAGCTGCTACAGCAAATACAATTAAGCTGACCAAGGATTAAGCACCTGAAATGCTTCTTGCTAAATGGCAACAGTAAGAGCAAACAAACACAACATTTAATCATTTATACAGCTGCAGCGGCCAAGACTGTAAACAGCTTCTTCTGACTGGTCCCAGAGTTGATGTCGTGGTCATTTTCAACTTACTTGAATTTTTTTAAGTTAAAACTGTGTTGATCTCTATAATAATTTCACTTGTTGAAACTATTTGTTTTTTATAATGTTTTCTTAAAAAATGTTTGAAAATACAGAAATTATTACTCATATTTAGATCGATTTATTTGTCAGCAGGCGAGGAGCTGGACATTTTTAAGATGGTTTTTAGGGGGGCACACACAAATAAATAAAACTACTCTGGATTTCAAAATTACTACCGTACATTAACATCAGTATATATGTTACTGATGTTAGTAGTAACTGTTGATGCTGATATACACTGTTGGTAGTCTTCCTGTCATGTAAGGACTTATATTTAATGTTGTTTTGGCACACTGAACCTGAAGATGGCCTCCACAACTAACTTCAACCAGCTTTACGTTAGTTGTTTTAAGAAACATTGTGCTGAAAATTTGTGTCTGATTGTAGATAAGAATGATAAAACAAAAACAAAAACAAAAACAAAAAAAAACATGTTGACTGTTAGTCCCAACAAGCACAATAAGCACTAATGCTAATTTCATAAAAGGGCTATAATTTTACCCATTTTAAACACAGCTGAAAATTAGCATTTTATATATTATACATACTTATATATACTACTTATATATACTACTTATATATATATATATATATACACTATATATAATTAGCAAAGAAACAATATTTTACAAAATCTGATTTCAAATTCAAAATCCAAGATGGCTGCCGAAGTTAATTTCAAATGGTTGCAACTCAGACGTTTTTAGAAAAACTGAGCTGAAATTTGGTGAGGTGGTAGCCAAGAGCTACCTCCATGACACACCCCAGCTAGTAATGCATGTTTCTTAACTTATTTGGGGCTGTGGTTGAGTGGTTAGGGCAGTCATTCCACCAATGCAAGAGTTGGCGGTTCAACTCCACTGCTAGCTAATTTAGGGATGGCACCTGGGGTGGCCAATCAGGTGCCAGGGTCGACACTCTGGCTCCGCCCCTTGATTGCCAGTCAAATCTTCAATTATTTTAAAGAATTAAACTAAATATAAGTATTTGTTTCACACAAATACTACTCTGAGTTCCACTAATTTATACTTATGAAGTCAAAACAAATACTCATCATCATCATATTCAACATTTTAAATAAGCATATTTATTTCTGTCATATTTACAGGGTCCTTGAAATATTTATTAGAGTGTAAGTTTGACCTGTTGTGAACATTGAACCTGCCTTTTAACAAAAATATATCTTTACACTGTTACAAATATTAAAAGGTTTACAGAAGTTTTAGCCACGGGGAGCAAACAGATAAGAAATCATTACTTTAAATCTGACTTAAATGAATAGTTTATCAGGCTGAGCTTTACATATTGACACAGTTCAGTTTAACATAAATGACATCATCTGTTCTGGGTCCCTGTTGGGAGAAAGGCTTTTAATTATTTGCTGATGTGTAAAAAGCAGCTGCTGACCTTTTCACCAAAGATCCTCTGGCAGATGCCGTTCTTTGCCAGCTTCTCCTTCACCTGCCGGGTCAGCTCGATGGTGTCCACCTCTCGATACATGTACATCTCGTACTGCTCCGGTGTCAGGGGGGGCACGGTGGGCTTCAGAGCACGAGGAATGTACGCTGGGTAGTAGGAAAGACGTCCCGGCCCCGGACCCGGAGACTCCCCGCTCACCGAGGTGTCCGACTCCACCTTCACCTCCACGGGCCGGCCCAGGCTCAGCTCGTCCTCGGCGTTGGAGGCCTCCTCGCTGTTGATCAGGCCGTCGCCGTTCTCGAGGCGCTGCCAGGGCCGGGGCAAGGCGGGGGGCCCGGAGGACGAGGACGACAAAGAGGGTGAGACGGAACTGAAGGGCCGGGAGCCGCAGCCGCCGCCTCCTCCTCCTGCGAGCACCATGGGTCCTCGCTCCTGAGACCAGTGCTGGTCGAAGTAGGTGCCCGCCTCGCCGATTTCTGACTTGACTTTGCGGATTATGTTCTGAACAAACGCGGCCGGGGAGAGGACGCTGAGGGGCGTCTGGGGGCTGCTGATGGAGCTGGCCATGCACACGGTAACGCAGCCCCCTTCCTCCTGTTTGATGGAGATGGGTAAGGGGAGAAGTCGGGAGCGCTCAGGTGGCCCCAGGCGTTCTACCTGAGCTCCTGAGCTGGCAGTGGAGGACCTCCCGCAGGCCTCCATCTCCATCAGGGCCTGCTGCTGAGCCTCCATCTCCCTCCTGGCCTGTTCCAAGATGCTCTTAATGGTTTCATCAGAGCTGCTGCCTGCACCATTACTACCTCTGCCAGATGAGCTGTTCAGGGACACCTTTCCATCACCTAAACAAATAAAAGATTAAAAAAAAACCTCTGATACCGATTCACCCTTCCAACTCCGAGCCATTAAAGCAGTGATCAAAATAGACGGTGGAAACTGTCAATGTAAGAATAAAAATCGATCAATAAAGCTTTCTACTATGACTCATGACACGCAGCCTTTTTCCTTACCTCCCCTCTGGGACTGGATCTCCTTTTTRGCCTGCTCTAGGATGTTCCTAATGGCGTCGTCTGACCCAGTTTCAGGAGTTCGGATGCGCGGAGTGATGCTCCCTGCCACAGAGGGTAACAGAAAGAGGTAGAGAGTGGGGGGGGTGATCAGAGAGCAGTTCCAAGGCTTTGCTTTTGACTGGTAGATCAATGGGTGCTTTGAGCGCGTGCTGTCTGAGGCTGCAGTATACGGGAAGCTCAACTTTCAAAAGCTATAAATCTAGGGAGAAAACAAAGTTTTAAAGTAACACCATAAACATGGCAGAGGAAGTTGTGACGATGTCGAGGATGTGGTCCAAGTAGATCAGAAGGTTTACACCTACATCCACAGAGGAGCCACCGGAACAGAAAGACACAAGTGCACCAGTTCTAATAAACATAATTCAATCAATCCTATAATCTGAACACTCATTATCACCTGCTGCCAAAGACACACACACAATAACATGTTTGTTGTCATCTGTACGAGTGTGTTTGTAGWGTTAGCAAAATATATTTTGAAGCATGGACACGATTTATTGGAACCTTTACAAAGTAAATCACTGAATGCATCTAGAACTGCAGTCATCACAGTTCACGATGGCTGTCACAACCAAACACTCAAATAACTCAGCCAATTCCACAAATATTAAGATCAAGTTTTGTGTGGTAGTAGCTGAGAGTCATCCCCAGCATGTACTTCAAGTGTCAACCCTGTCTGTTAGCATAATATCTCATGTCCCAGTGTCCAGATTTTATTGAAATTCTCAGGAAACAATCATTAACTGTACATCTATGGCTGATGATGGCCACCACAGCCAACTGACCTCACGAAACAGAAAATCTGCTATTATTCAATAAATTTAACTTATTCTGCGATAGAATTTGTTTTGATAGTAGCTAAGAGTCAGTTACAACACATACTCCAAGTATTTTTAATTACACATGATTTTTCCTTAAATCTTTTAGCACTGACTGTCGAAGTCAGTCCTTTTTGTTTGCAAAATATCTCATGAAGCACTGAACAAATTTTACTGAAACCTTCATTAAGGAATCACTGGATGCCATGATTAATCTAAAAACTAACCAACTTTTGGAGTTTATTCAAGATGGCCACCTCAGCTATTCACTGTTGTTTAACCAGGCAAATCCCATTGAGATCTCAGATCTCTTTTTCAAGGGAGGCCTGGGCCTGAAGGCAACCTATTGTACATGTTTTTGTGGGGTGGGGGAACCCGGAGTACCCGGAGAAAACCCACGCAAGCACAAGGAGAACATGCAAACTCTGCACAGAAAGACCCCAGGTCCAAAAGCTAATCGATACTGATACTGAGCTAAAGTTGAATGTGGTCATCACATACGCTGAGCGTGATAGACAGTGTTGCTTGAGATCACACATAACTTTATTTTGAAGGTTTGACCAGAGCAGCTAAAGGTCTGTCATTTCTCTTCATGAGATGATCTGAGTCTAAAAGTCTGCATGAAAGGCAGCAGACAATAAAAATCCTAAGCACCTCCCTTTTGTTTGCTTTAAACATAAGCAAAATCTACTTTTTTAGCTGTTGAATACATTTCAATTCAATTCAATTCAAAAATACTTTATTGATCCCAGAGGGAAATTAGGTAATTATATCCATTTTGTTGTGGACTTGGAGTCTATAGGAGACAGAAACGTTGAATTGAGTTTCTCCTGGTGCTGCGTAAATATCTTTATATTTTGTTTGGGTCAGATTTCAACCCACTCAGTTTTCTCCATATCTTATGACATTTTAGGCTCTTTTAGGAAATTTGATGTTTAAATTTATTGGTTGTGTCGATGCTTGCTGTAATTCATTGATTATTATGAGCTTGACTAACATAAGACTCAGTGTTACACGTTACCAGTCCCAGTTGTGGAGGTACTGGTACAGTGGCTTCTATAGTTTTGCTGTGTTTTTGTTGTTGTTGTTGTTGTTGTTGCTGTTCTTGGATTTTATTGTTGATCTGCTTCTCTTGTCTTTGTGTGGACCTTGAGTCTGTAATAAAGGTTGAATATTTTCTGAACTATTACATCCCAGTATTTGTGACGGAACTGCCAAATAAAGTTAATTAACAATTTATTTAATTTAATTAACCAATTAACAATGTAGTCATCTTCATTCTCCTCTGGCTCTGGGTCAGACTCTGGTTCTGGGTCAGACTCTGGCTCTGGGTCAGACTCTGGCTCTGGGTCAGACTCTGG